CTGGTACGAATGAAAGAAGAAAATACAGATATTTAAGAAATTGTGAAAGAGTTTTTAATAATTCCACGTAGCGCTTTATGAAACGTGAATTCAGCCAGCTATCATGATCGGCTATTGTGACGATCATTATCTCTGACTCGCACTTCTGCTAAAATCAATTGATACGAGGTCGAGTCGATTCAGTTGCAAATGGCTCGTAACAAAGTATCCGCGGCGTTTACTATACTCGTTATATCATGGCAAATGATAGGTCTCTATTTTCGCGCAATACCCGATGCAAATTTACTTGACACCGTATGCATATCAATGCGTGCATGCATATTTCCCGCGAGCTCGCACAAAGGGGTTGTTTTCGCCTCGTTCTCCTTCTCTCTCTCTCTCTCTCTCTCTCTCTCTCTCTCTCTCTCTCTCTCTCTCTCTCTCTCTCTCTCTCTCTCTCTCTCTCTCTCTCTCTCTCTCTCTCTCTCTCTCTCTCTCTCTCTCTCTCTCTCTCTCTCTCTCTCTCTCTCTCTCTCTCTCTCTCTCTCTCTCTCTCTCTCTCTCTCTCTCTCTCTCTCTCTCTCTCTCTCTCTCTCTCTCTCTCTCTCTCTCTCTCTCTCTCTCTCTCTCTCTCTCTCTCTCTCTCTCTCTCTCTCTCTCTCTCTCTCTCTCTCTCTCTCTCTCTCTCTCTCTCTCTCTCTCTCTCTCTCTCTCTCTCTCTCTCTCTCTCTCTCTCTCTCTCTCTCTCTCTCTCTCTCTCTCTCTCTCTCTCTCTCTCTCTCTCTCTCTCTCTCTCTCTCTCTCTCTCTCTCTCTCTCTCTCTCTCTCTCTCTCTCTCTCTCTCTCTCTCTCTCTCTCTCTCTCTCTCTCTCTCTCTCTCTCTCTCTCTCTCTCTCTCTCTCTCTCTCTCTCTCTCTCTCTCTCTCTCTCTCTCTCTCTCTCTCTCTCTCTCTCTCTCTCTCTCTCTCTCTCTCTCTCTCTCTCTCTCTCTCTCTCTCTCTCTCTCTCTCTCTCTCTCTCTCTCTCTCTCTCTCTCTCTCTCTCTCTCTCTCTCTCTCTCTCTCTCTCTCTCTCTCTCTCTCTCTCTCTCTCTCTCTCTCTCTCTCTCTCTCTCTCTCTCTCTCTCTCTCTCTCTCTCTCTCTCTCTCTCTCTCTCTCTCTCTCTCTCTCTCTCTCTCTCTCTCTCTCTCTCTCTCTCTCTCTCTCTCTCTCTCTCTCTCTCTCTCTCTCTCTCTCTCTCTCTCTCTCTCTCTCCCTCCTCTCCTGCCTCTCTTTCTTCTTTCTGTCTTTTTTTTTCTTACAAGATTCACGAAGCGAAGGGATAAGATAAATCGCGCATTTTCTTTTACGAGAATCCCTGAGACGCCTCGCGAACGCTCGACAGGATGTTTGCGTCGCGGAAAATGCAAGCTGCATTACTGCAACAGACGGATTAACGCTCGGACTCGTCGCCATGCAGACTCGCGTTATGTTAACGCGTCTGGAATTAGATTTATTTTTTTGCTTATTGCCGGGTTTCCGTTACTGCAGATCGTTACATTGCTAGATACGAATATACAGAGCGTCGCTGCAGTAGAAACAAAAAATAAATCCCATACTGTGATTAAAATTAATTTTTCGAGGATATTATCGGAACACGTAACTTTGTTATTACGTAGACATATATAGAGGCTAAGTTAATATCGCGTATACAACTTTTATCTCATTGAGACTGTATCAATTTATTTAGTTTAAGGTCGATAAAAAAGATTCTTCGTGCTATACACATTAATTTTATCGCTGTTTGCGCGCCGTTTTAATTTCTCACGCTTTTCTTACTTTACGATGTTTTATCTAAATTAGAAAAAACTTTTATAATAGAGGAAAATAATAAAAAAAAAGTAAGAAAGAGAAGAACAAAAGATTATTACAAACTCTGCAAGAAAAGCATATTATTTTCGCAACGTTTTTGCAAAGTTTAAAAAGAAAAAGCGAATAAAAATCGTTGCGAGCTCTCCACTGTGGCTCATAAAATTCGAGAAAAAGTTAAGTAATCGGTTTGTCGATCATATCAGGCAAGCTATATCGCTCCTGTATATGATCTTAAGATTTCGATGTGGATCGTGGTAGACGCGAAGCTCGATATCTACTGTCGTAGCCGATAGTTGACGTTTTGGCTTAAGTCACTGGCTGATGTCACGAAGTTGCAGCAGATAAGATTACCCTGGCAGAGCCTGGTGGCCGAAATTTCCATTCCCGGGTCACGCGATGTAAGCTGCAGCAGTCGCAGCTAAAACACGTCATTTATATCGCGTTGCACTCTGATATTTTACGAATATCGCAAACGAGATTTATTTCTCACATTTTTTTCTCAATTTGAGATTATCAACTTCGAATCCGTGAGATCAAAAATAGCACGGACTAAATCTTCTTTCTTAAAAACCTGACTGGAATAAGAAAATTTAACTCTTCAAAGAATTGAGGGTATAACAAATTTAGATTGGCTAATCTTTTATAATTTTATCGATTTAATTAAATCAGCTATTTTATAAAGGGAACCAAAAAAAAAAACGTAAAATAAAATGCGAAACATATGCGATATCACAGTATTTGCTAATCATTTATGTACCTCAGTTAATTTTGCGCACCCAGAAAATTTTTGCTGTAGTTGCAATACCACTTTTTTGAGTGCATATTTTATACTCGAAAAGAGACAATTATTTTTCGAGCTTTTTCTATTCTAGTCTTATAATTATGCTATAAATTGGATCTAATGGCAGTTTCTTGGTGAAAAAAGAATCATTGTACTCAAATTTAGCAGACATATAGACAATAAAATATTCCGCGTGTAATCGCAAAACATTTATTAATAGTAATAAAGTATGTAAACTTTAGAGGCATTGACATCTTCCAAGTAAATTATAAGAATGTTATATACAAAGAGAAAAATCTATTTTTTAATTACGATATATAATCAAAATAGAAATTGACGAATCTTCGTAGAAATCTAAAAATCGTGAAAAACACTCGTCAGTACAGCAGTAATCTCCTCGTTCTCGCGCATGCATCTGTCGCGGCGCGATTTGCATCTTTACACGAATAGATTTACACGAAGGATTTACACATTCTTCGTGCATAATTTGCATACAGAAAGTCGAGTCGAGGGAATATATCATCGCTGCAACGACTATGATGGCCTCCGAGCCATCTGGTCGGAATATTCCACGCGGTAGTATCGCACAGTGACGAATATTTCCACGGTCGTTGATTAGCGGTCTCAGTAATTCGAGATGGTGTTGGTGAAGGTGGCCCATGTTTCCTCGATAGGTGCCAACACGGTGATCACTATGAGGGTCGTGGCGAACGCGACGATAACCACAAAGTACACACCGAAAATGAACTTGCGCATGCCAGAGTACTGTCGGGAAAATATTCAATGAGATTTTGTTTGCGTACTGATATTTGTTTGTACACTAAATTATTTTTCAATGCGATATCGGTCCGCGGCATCGATATAATATCAGGAATTATTGATTTATTTGTACAATTTATTGCATATGTGTGCACGTGAGAAAAGACGTGACATTTATCTATTATAAATTTCTTAAAAATTTTTTGATCAAAGAAATTTTATAGAGCGCGGGGTTTTAAATCACATAAATCAAATTCTTGAAGAAAAAGAAAGAGAGATAGAGAGAGAAAGAGAGATTATTTGAATTATTCCATTTATAAAAAATTTAATTTATCTTATATTTAAGTGCATAGAATCCAATTATTTTTGAGCGCGTGGATTTTGTCTTTTCATTACGTTGTAAAGAAATGTAATTAGATTTCTCAATTGTCATTGATAGATTTCTCAATATTCACAAGAATGAAAAAAATATTATTGTTAAGCGTATTATCTCCTTCTTTTATCTCTATTTTACTGACAATCTTATTAATATTTCAAAGTGGATCGACGCGCGTTGAAAGATTATTCGATTACGTCACTCTTATTTCAGAAAATCTTACAGGAGCGTCTCGCCTCGCATCTGGATGCACCATTGATCCGCGAGAATGCATGTCTTTCATCGGAAATGAATTCACTCTCTGACTGGCTTGTTTGTCAGAGACGCAACCAAGGAACTGCAACATAAATCGGCAAGAATGTAGCAAATATAACTGCAATCTCTCGGAAAGGCGGATTAACATAATTTAGTATTGAAGCACAAATTCCGTTAAATATTGAATTATTTTTCTCGAGATATTGTGCAACATTAAAAATTTTAATGTTCTACAAAGAGAAAGCACATAATTTATAAAATGTGATCGATTTTTAATCGACTTAGATCGGATGTCAAAATTGCGTGATTATTGTACAATAAATCGTTCGGTTAGATTTTTTTGCGATTTTTTAGAACTTTGCGCGAAAATTTGACAAGGACTCTTACTGTTAAAATGAGGTGAGTCAGAACGTAGAATACCACATATGCGGTAAGGATCCAGTCGACCCACTCCGGAAGTTTGGCCTTGTTTAGTCGTACCGCAAAGAAAAGCGCGATTACTATGGAAGAAATTTTCATATATTATATAATTTTATACAATTCCATATCTAAAAAAAAAACGAATTCTTCAATGTTTATTCATCCTATCTGATATAATTCATGATGCATTTTATATTGAATTGAAGATATCAAGAAAGAGTAATAGAATTAACGAATTTACATATTTCATGCTAAACGTTTGAAAAGATTCAAGACTAGATTATTCTATATTACAGAGCGTCAAATAAAAGCGAGATTAAAATGTTTAATAAAAATAATATTAAATTAAATGAGAGAGGGATTATTAAAGGTCTCAATTTATTTAGCATTATAATCAATTTTTTTAACGCAATAAAACATTAAACGTAAAAGAGATATGTTCTTCAAATGACAATAAATAAAGAACAAAGAAATGTAATATATCGAATGCGGCAAAAAAAAAATACGGGACACTTGTATAACTCAACTTACGGGCGCATATTTTTGCCACATTACCGACGAACCAGTGAGCCCAATTGAAGAGAGCTCTTCGTGGTGCGCCGGGATGCGGTCTCATAGCCGCCATGAAGGGCTGAATAAAGCACAAAATTGTAGTAGCCAGGCCGACGGAAGCGTGTATCGTCGCAGAACTCCATGTGCCCAATTCCACGAATATTATTACGAAGGCTGCGATCGTCATCGACCAAGTGAGCACCATGAAGAATCTGTGCCACTTGAGGAAAAATCGATAGGATTTTATTATAGCGAAAGGAGCGCGAGAAAGGTGTCGATGGCAACCGCTTTCCCTTCGCGTGCTTTAATGTTAAATGTTAATGATGTACACTTAGATTTCGTCGCGAAAATAACGCGGATATTCCACTGGTGATGTTGGAATGTTTTAATTAGTCTAAAGAAATTATAAATATATTGAAATCATTAAATATATTAAATTATCATCAATTAAAGGAATTTGAAATCTTTTACAGAGTAAAATTATTTGGAAAATATTTATTCTAATATCTGTAAAGGCATTCTTTTTTTAAACAAAAATAAATACTCCACTCATTCTATTCAATCATTGCAAAATTGATGAATAAACAAATTTTGTAGAAGCAGAAATAGAAGTTAAGTAAGTGAATTAATGGCATTCGTATTTTTATTTGACGTTGATAAAAAAAAAACGTAAAATAAAACCAAATTTTATACAAACGCGTTCAAGATCGCAAAATTATGAAAACAAATATATCGTATTTGCGAAACGAGTGATAAAAATTTTATTTGAAAAATTGTTTATTAAACATATCTCAACTTTATAATCAACTTTATACTTTAAAAATTGTCAAAAAATTGTTTCTTTTTATTTTTTATTTTAACATATTTATTTTCACAATGAACTCATATTGTCTTTTGACAAGTTCTAAAATATAATAGGTTTAATACTTGGCACGATAATAGCTCGAACTTTTTTTATGCTTTGAAAAATATTATTTTTTTCCGATTTGTTTTTAATGTGTATGATTGTGAATATTATAAAATTTATTATTTATATATTGAATGCAGGTATTATAGCCTACAAAATAAATTGCCTCGTAATGAATGTTATTATATTTTATTTATTGTGTATGATTGATAGAAATTTATTTAATAACTTATTGTGTTATATATATATTGCTAGTATATATCTATTTATGTAAGATGAGTCATGACAAATCAAATTAGCGATTATAAATTAAATATTAACGCATATGCCGATTGTATGTGTATGTGTTTGGATTGATGTAGAATACAAAATAACATGTAAAATTAAATCAACAATTTTCTGGCATAAACTGATATTGTATTTAATGATATTAAATAATTGTAATTATATATCAAAAATCTTATAAATATAAATATTGAATATGACAATGTCGCGATAATTAAATACGACAGTCAATGATGAAACACATTTTAGAGATGCATGCATATTTCAGAGAGAAATGTCTGTTTTTTTTTAATATCAAAGTTGCATCATAATCTTTTGCGAATTAATGTATACTGCTATTTAATGGACACAAAATACAATAATTATATACGCGGTACGGAGAGGCAGTTTACATTTACCACAGCTCGTAATAATTTAGTATTTGCACAACATAGTCGAGAATCCCGGGATAGCTTTTTTTGAGCGATACTATTTACAAGCAGCTACAAAATACGACGTAACAAAGGGAGAATCAAGTTGCATCATTGTGCTATTATCCGGCAGCTTGATAACAAACAAATTTGAAACCTTAACAAACTGACGTTTCAACGTCACTTGATCCGTAGCTTAAAGCCATTTCGTGTCGCAATTCGATTGGGAGAAAATATTCGCGGACTGTAAATTCCCTATTATTTGCGCTACTGAATATTCAAATCATGCCCGATGATAAAAATTATCGCGCATTATTCGCGCAAATATAATTTGCAGAAATAATCTTCGATAATGATTATATTGTAACACACGGTGATTTTTCACAATAGTTGACAAAATTGCGTCGAAATATTGATAAAAATAATTTCGATAAAAATGATTGATGCTGATGGTTTTTTTTTTCTACCGTATTTTATATCGCGAAAATGAGGAATTATGCGAAAAATGAACGTGTTAAATATTTTTTCTCGTAGAAATAAATATTGATTTGTAACGGATGAAATTCTTTTAATACGGACGAAGCATATATCGGAATATGTAGAGAATATGTTGTTTAATCGAAAAATTAATTTTCCGTATTAATGCTGTTTAGCGCACTAATATATCCAACAATTACTGAATAATCTACGTAACTAAGCGTGAAATTCGTTTCTCAGAAAAGATCGACTCCCAGCCGATAGCTGTAGCGTGCAAGCAACAAGCAAGCAACTCCGAAAGAACGAGGCAATATTTTATCGCGCGGGGAGAACGATTAATCGTACGTCGAGAATCGTACGTGAGGAGTAATTTTTGATGGATAAGGGACTAAACTTTGCGCGACTCATCGCCGAAAATACACGTCTCATGGTGCGTGCGAGCGAACACGCAACTTATCGAGCGATCGCGCCACGGGCCGCGAACCAAAGGGCTGAATCAATAAGAGAAAAAGCGTCGCGACGCGTTGCCCTTCGGGAAAACGTTGCCCTTCGGCGATCCGTGCGTCGATTCGAGGCGGGAATCGAAGGCGGTCGGAGCGTCGAGGACCGTCACGATGCCACCGAACTCCTGGGTTTTTCTCGGAGTAGGATTCGCGGCGCAACCCCCTCGTTTCGACCGCCACCGGATTCGCGTCGCGCCGGTAAAGCCCGGCGGTCGTCCTCGTACCTGTCGCACGACGCGGCTGTTTCTCTCTTTCTCTCTTGTCGCAGACGGATATCTCTCCTATTATTATTCCTTTTTACTTCCGTATCTCTACGCGAACGATACGAACGCACGAACCAACGCACACACGCGCCGCGGAGCGTCGCGACGGCCGTCGGTGCCGGCCGGTGTCTCCAATCGAACTGCGGGGGTAGTTCGACGGTGGCGCCGCCGAAGGACGCCGCCACCTTTATTTGACGTTGATTCTGTATAATTGCGATATATTCAACGAGTGAAAATAAATCAAGAACGAGATTATATAATTTTGAAAAAACGTGAAATGGTGTCAAACATTGAATAGTTATGCGATTGCCTAGAAAACTGCATACTTACGGCGAACCAGTGATCCTTCCCACACAGCTGGGAGTTAACCCATGTCTGTCTGTAATATCTCGCAAGTAGCATCCCGATGGAGGCCGTGCCGATCCATGATGCCAACATAAGTGCACCGTGAAGGCGAATTAGTAGGTCGCTGGCTGGAATCCATTCTCCAACGTCGGATAATTTCTTTGAGGTACTAGTCCCAAGATAGACGATGTCGTGAAAGTTAACTCCATTTTCTAAAAAAAAAAAAAAAAAGAAAAAAAAGATATAATTGCGGTATAAATCATTCGCATATAAGCAAAGAGTAATTTTTCCTTGACGAATGCGTCATGAATATTTATTTTAATTATATGTAATCAATCGTGTGATCACATTGTGCCCTTTTTCTCTCTTCTTCAAAATAAGAATTGTAGAAACGCGGTCTATCTATGTACATATAAATCACATTTTATTCATTTTCCTGTTTGCGTTCGTGCAAAAACATAAAGAAGCTATCAAATTTGCAGTGTTATCACAATCTTTGGCAAGAAAGTTGTAAAGTTTTTACACACTTTGCTCTCAGCGGAAACGTACGAGGAGCAAACTTCGCGAAGCCTTCCGCTAACCTTCTTCAACCTTTATTTAAAGAAGTGCGATGGCAAAACTTTGCGTCATAAATCTAACATTAGCGCGATCGTTGGTAAAATTTATTCTTTGTTTAATAATTAGCGATAATTGTTAGTGATAAATAACGTTGGAATTGTAGACACGCTCGCGATGATATACATACTTCGTAGATCTTTGCCGGCGACCACGAGAAGATGATACGGAGTATTGACAAGGTCATATGTACGTCCCTCAACAACAGTGCGCTTGTCCCGTCGAAATTTGCAATACATCACGTCATTCTTGATCGAGGTATTTTCCAATTCGACCGCACCTTCCGGCTGTGGATGAAATCGCGAATAGAACAAGGGAACATTTGTCAGACATAAATCTCGAGAGCGAAATGGAAATAATTCACAACATACGATAATTTTAATATATATTGCTAGATTTTGTGCAGGATTATTTTTACCTCAATGAAAATATTTCATTAAACAACTTCAATATTAAATTTCAAATAAAAATACTCAACTTGAAAAATTCTACTCGGAATAATCTACTTTGAATGAAGTAAAGATTAGCATGTTAATAGGGAGATGATGCGATAAAAATTTCGACCGTTGATAAGCTTGTACCAAATACGTGGAAATGCCTCTTACGAGCTTCGTAATTATTCGTAGAGCTTAAAGATTTATGCATTACTGTAACGGGGAGTAACAGCGCCGGCTACGGCGAGCGTAATAATTGGGATCTAATGGGCCAGACTCGTTGTCCGCGACAGAACATAGGGCGAATTAATTAGCACAGAGGCGCGCATCTGAGCCAGTGTAGCATAATAAACGATACTCACCGTCGCATGGCGCGTATTACTCTTTCCGGAATTCCAAGACATATGTAACGCAATTTCACCGTCCTCGTTCGTGCACTCGACTACGCTGTCGTCGCCCTGCGCACCACATTCCGCATATTATAACTCAACCATTACCGTTTAATCATTGATCTCGCGCAATTACGCGCGTAATTAATTGCGTAAGGCAAATATATATTCGCAGTAATTTCTACGGTGACGACGCGATTTTAATTACCAAATAAATGTTATGTAAATTTGCGTAACAAAGAAATCCAATCGCGTTCGCGAAAATAAATTTTTGGATGTACAATTAGAGTATAATTGAGGATTTCTACATTACAATCATCGAACTATTCGAGATCTGTTTATTACGCCGATGATATATTTAATACATCTCGCAATTAATATTTCAGAGAATAATTAAAGAAAAAATGAAGTTTTGTCCAATGTCTCCAAAGAAAATTAAGAAAAAAATGAAAGAAAAATTCTTAAAAATTCAGACGATTTAATGAAGATAATGAAAATTCTAAAAAAAAAAAAAAAAAAAACGACTGAAAAATGCAGCGAATAAGGTAACTTGACGCTCTTAATAAAATAGTTCCGCGCGAGGATTCTATTCGCAAATTTTCGCTTGTATAAATTGCACATGTGTCCGAGGGAAAAAGCTATGCGAAATAATCAAGCGCAGCTTCTCGCGCAATTACCATATTCTTGTCATCCGACAGGCCGACAGCGACATATTTGGCCTCCCCCCGCGTCTGCATCTCGAAATGATATTCGTCGCCTTGCACTATCACGGCCACCACGGCGGCGCAGTCCTTGGTTTTTATACAGCCCACGGGCGCGCCAAAGCAGTTCTTCGTGATGTGGCAGTCCGTGTAGAACGGGTCCTCTTCACTCTGCGTCTGTAACGAGAACAAACACCTGGGGATGACGCGGGAATTTTGCCAAGTCGCGAGATGCCACATTCCGCGAGATCTAATCTCGCGCAGCACGATGCGATTTGCGGAGATTGCGCAACGTCCTTCCGCTGTCCGCGAAATCGAGCAAGGGATGAAAAAAAAAAAAAGAGCAAAAAACAGGGAGACAGGAGTTTTAGATATTCAGAATCGTCGATCATCGCGAGATGCTTCGAGAAGTTGTTTATATATATTTACGAGGTTACCCTATACTCTCTTTGATATGTAGGGATGAAAAATATTTTGCCTTATTATTATATCGTAAAAGAAAGGAATCGTTTAAACTATAATAACTTCAAATATTACTCTTAATTAGGCGTATAAAGTAAACAAGATAAAGAAGAAAAGAAATACGTTTTATTAAATTATAACACTGAAAAACATATAAAAAGAAAAATGGGAACGTCAGAATTAAAGTTCGTATATTTTTGTTATCTGAATTATTTTGAAAAATTCCAAAAATAAGCCTTGTTATATAAATAAAATAGTTTTTGTTCTACAAAAAAATTTTGTGAAAAACTATAGTTGTGTGTTCAGATTAAAAATATTACAAACTTGACTCCTGACAAGTGGCAAATATTAAACCTCGTGTATTATCAGTATAAACTAAGTATAACTTGACGACACGTTGTGTGGCATAAAATTAAAATAGTTACCACAGCATTAACACTTATCTATGACGTAAGCGTGTCCACGGCTATGACAGCGATGTAAATACCAAGTGTTTCGCGTAGAATTATTTCTGTTGTAAGAGCTATCAAGAGAACGACATGTTTTGATTTCATAATGATAACACAGTGTCAAACTAATTTAAAGCTTCTGACATAAATGTATAATAGCGGGAGTAATATCTCACAAGATCTAATAATCTTTAATATAACGCACTAATGAGTTATAATTCTTAATATAATACTAATATATAACAATATGATAATATTAATTGTCATATTTTATTTATAGTTCGAAATAATTTTTATTGTTTTTATATATAATTTTGGTTGTTTCTAAAATTGTAAATATTAAAAAATATTTATTTAAATATTAAAAATATATATCTATGCATGTTAATTATTGGAATTGATTATGACATAAATTTCTACGTCGAAACTGTGGCAATAGCTTTAATTATATCGCTATGCCGTTATTTCACATACGCAACAAAAAATATCTACTGTTTAAATAAATATTATTTGTGAATAGATTTAATACAAAATTGTTTCTAGTAAAGTCAAGGCATATATGATTCAGCAAGAAATCCTAATAAGGGAGACCTTGCGAATCAAATCGCGCGCAACAATTTACGGAAACGTGGCGTACAGCCGAACGAAAAGGAAATCTGTGGCAGGGGAAAGAGAAACAGAAAGAGAAACAAGCTTGACGACCAAGCTTCAATTTAGATACGCTTCGCGAAATCGCGCGTTCACGCTCCGGTGGCCATTACCGGCTCTTTGCTGTATTTTTTACGTTTTTTATCGCGAACGATCGAGTGCCGTTTTCAAGGAAAGGTCACTCGCCCGCACGGTTGTAATTATTCAACGAATTTGTCGCACATATATATTGTTTAACCGATTTAAGCAATTTATTTTCGACGTAAAAATATTATCAAATTATTCTCGCGACAGGAAACAATTTATATAGCGACAATAAAAATTTTGAATTAATAAAAAGTTCTGGAATCTGACAATTATTCAATAAATCTGACTCAATAAATCTTTATTGAGATATCACAGAAGAAACAATCGATAAGCTTTTCTGCTCGATCAGGTTATTTGTAAAATTGTGGAAAATGCAAGAGAAATTTATGCATTGTGATATATTCTATTCGAAAAGTTTGTACATATATTGCAAGTATATACATATATTACGAGTTATATGTATGTATGTATATATACATTTCTCTGACTTATCATAAATTTTCGTTTCAAAAATTAAGGACTGTGAATCCTGTATTATTTTCGTCTTCTAGACATAGACAATATTTTGCTCGCATTGAGCCTGGTCCGTAGCCAAAATAGAATGTTTATTGCGATAAGTTACAATATTTGCTTTCGTCTTATACATGTTTATTTTAATTTGTTATTCCGATTTATTATTTACAATACTGTACGCATATTGGAATATTAAAAACAGACTTGAACCAAGTTAATGTGCTCTTATTTTAATTGTTCTACAATAAAATTTAAATATATTATTTTAATTAAACCGTAAAATAAGTAGAATATTTAATTAATAGAAAAATCGTCTTCTAGACATAGACAATATTTTGCTCGCATTGAGACTACAAAATATCTTTTTTATATCATTAAGTATTAAAAAAAAAAAGATTAAGAATGTTTTTGAATATTTCGTAGAAAAATTTATATATTCCTTTGAAGCTTAAATAAAATAGATTGTGGAACTGGAAGACGACGCAACATGGAAAGGAAAAACGAATTGCAGTGAATTTAAAAAACTCAACGCAAGAAATGCAAGATTAATAGTACTTTCGTGTTCAAAGGATTTGGAAAACATTGGACTAACATAAGTCTTGCCAAGATGCATGTCACAACCCGTAATTCAGAGAACACTCCTTTGCTTTATTTATTTATTTTTTTTTTTTTTATCTTTGGCCGCGCGCATTCGATAATTCCACTTGACAATTCTCGAACGCGCAAAAAAAAGATACGAATCATAAAAAGTCGACGATACAAAATCGCAAACGGCCCCGCGGAAGTGAACGGTGAAAGTACATAAAGCATAAATTCCAGAACGTTAGTTGCGGTCGTGCGTTATGCATTTGTATACGGTTAAGGGATCCATACATGTACATACATGCATACATGTATAGATACATAATTCATGCATCTGCAACACGCGTCACGCGTTACTATATTCGCTTCTGTGTACGTGTGTGCATATATATGTGGGGATTGTAAATTTTTTACTTTCCACGATATGATAGTGCAGATCGCTATCATTGTATGAGAGAAAGATATGCGGAATCTAAAATATTTTTCACATTAGTCGAAACTTTCGAAATTTCGATTTGTGCGAATAATATAAACGGAAAGAGATAATGCAGAGAATCAGTGCACGCCATATTTTCCATTAATGATCCATTTTATGATTATAAATTGTATTCGGTCGAGTATAGATGCTTAACAAGAATATTAAATGAATTTTAATTAAACTTGAATTTCGCAAAATTGCAAAATGGAGATTTATGAGTGATCTATTTTAATTCTCCCATTTGATATCAGTAGGTATAATTATTTATTTATCTCGCGAATATATAACCTACTTGAGGCTGACAATTGTCATTAATTAGAGTATCGTTACAATTTATTCACGATGCGAATGAGAATTTAAACGCGTTTTAATCCAAAATCCGTTTTAATCTGCGCAGACAAAACACAGCGGAACAATTGAAAGTTATTACTTACTGAAAAAAAATTCGATAGATTATATCATATATATAACCTTACAAACAGATTTTCTATATAACATGATCTATTGGTGATAGAAAGACAACTACATAGAATACTATCCGGAAAAAATACGATATACGGATTAAATTCCAATAACAGATTCTTTTTTTAAATTTTATTTTTCTTGATAAAAACGTTGAGGCAAATCTGATAATTTATTACCATTTTACAATACTAAACATTTTTCCATACAATTAAACTTCAAATTGAAATTAAACTTTACTTAAAATATTAATAAAAAATTATATGATTTCGTTATTTATTTTTTGCCTAATTGGTTTCATATTTTATCATTGATCAAAAATTATATGATTTCGTTATTTATTTTCTGCCTAATTGGTTTCATATTTTATCATTGATCAAAAATTATATTTTTTCTAGCAACACATGTTTTCGATGAAATTTTTATTGGGAAATCTATTTCTCAAGCAGATCGACGAAAAGAATATCCAGCAATTTTGAGGCACTCTCTATGTAAACTGGATAAATTCTTGAAATATGGTTACAACATATAGTAACCTCATTGAATCAGGTCGGCTCGCGTGCATCCCACGAGCAATGTTCGTAAAGCCGCACCTATCGGGACTTGCAGGCTGCTTACATCGTTTAACGCCCTGTGTAATACTCGGGCGCATTTACCTCATAATAGCGGGACGACGGGAAATATAATACTCACCACATAATTGACGGTGCGGCTATAGTAGGGCGGCGTGGTGGTCCTGAAGGTAGTGACGGGCGTAGGTAGGGTCGATACATCGATGGACCGCTTGTCGACGGTGACTCTGGGCGATTCCACGCCGACCCAATACGTGCTGTAATCCTGAGCGAAGGTGGAGCTGCAAAAGAAACAATAAAAGGTCAATGATCAATTGTAACGCGCACTGCAATGTTAAAGTCCAGAATTAAATCGAAATGACAGAACCTCTTTATTTTAGGATATATATATATATAAAGCTTGTGGAATATTAATATATTATAGCGACATTTTTTTAGATATATATTATGTTGAAATCAAACTTATACCGACATAAAACATAGATATACATGCGTATTTTTATATTACATATTCACAATTTTATTACTTTGATGTCGGACATTTTGAAATATTCCGCTGCATTTAAACGGGAAATCGAAAAATTTTCGTGAAGAATATTCCTTTGTGCACATAGATATGCATGTGTACATTTTTATATTAAATATTATTTTAGAATTTTTTTTCTTTTTGATGGCAAATAGATGCGAAATAAACTTTGAAATATCCTAATTAATAAAACAGAATTCTTAAACCAAAAATTTCATGTAAAAAGAATTAAAATAATATTAAAATAAATTATGATAAAAAGAAATTAAAATTATTATGAAATTATTAAAAAATGAAATATATTTTTTTTGCAGCATTAGCCGATAATAAATAAAAATATAGAAAAACTATACGCATGACTTAAAATAAAAAACTTTTTTTAACATTAAGTACCTGGTTTTCGAAAATTAGAGCGTTTGAATTTTGCGTTTTTTCTCCCTCTCTCTTTATTTTTATCATACATGATATATAGCGAAGTACTCTAAATGTTCAACGCGTGAGATAGGATTTTCTGTAATATATCTTAATAAGGGTTTCATTAAATCTTAATAAGAGACTCATTTTTTCTAATTTTCGATTGTCTTACGCGAGAATTAAAATAGATGAGTAGAAATAGCAAAAGATATCTTAACAAATCTATAAAGTTAATGAGTTCAAAGATTAAAAATACGTAACAGTTTTATTAATTTCTTTTTCAATCCATCTACCAAAATCACAGTATTTCATTCAGACTCTTGATATTTGTTAAAAATGTAGTATAAGATTTATATAAAATTTTTAACCATGACAATAAATATATGAACAATTTTTTTTCTCGTAAATCCTTTTTATCATTTTTTTCATTAATGCTGCTTGCGACGAAATATAAATATCAGTGTACAAGAGCAGCGAAGAATTCCCAAATGGAGCCGTAAAATCAAAATAACATTCAAACTCTTTTCGAAATAAGTTACAAACTTTCAGCAAGGGCGCAGCTGCGCGCTTTCTATTAAACATGCATTAGTTACTTCGAATCGATTATTAAAGGAAAAGTTTATAAGGAATGTTTCGCGCACTTCTCGTACCGTTATGCTCGCACGAGCACGTTGAATTCCAAACGTGAGCAGCCGCGCGTACGGTAATACCTAATTGTGATTCACAAGTGTGATACACATCGTGCTTTTATGTGCATGCGTGCGCGCGCGCGTGTGTAGCTGCGTGCGTGTGTGCGTTCAGCGGCTGAGATCAGTCGAGGGAATCCTGACTCAACAATTAAGCCGTTTGCACAAATGCTGATGTTTTTTATTTTGAATTTTACAGATGCTCCGAAATTTTGCAATTTTGCGAATTCACAAAATAAATAACAAGCAAATTCCTTCAATCTTTTTTGATAAAGTATGTGCCTGTGTATCCCTGAACATAATAAATAATAATAAGTTTAGATAAATTAATCAAAAAAATATACACCCACGTAAAATGAAGATAAATCAGAAAATATCATAGGTTTTTTTAATAGTTTGTGATTTATATAATTCATATAATATGTCATAATGTTTTCTCGAATATATTTTAGAGATATTAATTAATAAATATTTTACGGAACATTGATTGAATAATAGATGTACGTACAACGCATGAAAAAATTGAGTATACCGCCGACAGAATCAATTGACACTCGATGTAATCAAATTAAATCGTGTGATGCTTGTTAAAGAATCATTATCATTATACGGTACTTACTTAAAGATAATGATACCCTCATAATCGTCCGGAGCTTTCCAATCAAATTCCAGATTATGTTTCTTGTTCGTGTTCGTATGAGTCACACCATTCTAGACACAAGAAACAGGAAAAGTTTCATCGGATAAGAAATTACGCATCATTGAAATTGTATATTTACGAAAGAGCCTCGATAAATGATTTAATCTTGAAGAAACCATTAACGATAGAAAAATATTCGCCAAGTAAAAACGAAACACTCTGATGCGTCATATATCATTATATATACGCCGCAATCGTATCGTGAAGTATACAATGTGATCGTAATCCACAATCAAAAGTAATGATTTTGCAATTGTTTTAATATTTCGAAAGTTCGATACAACAGCGATTTTATTTTCTGCTTCGAGAACTTGTAGAAAGAATTAATTATAAATATAAAAAATTAAATGTATAATTTTAATTTTAATTTTTAATTTCCTTAATTTCTTTTTAAATTAAAGATCGAGCTGCAGGGTGATTCTTGTATCGAATTTTTTAATTGTTTATAAAGACACTTAAACCTTTTATTTATTTTTTTTTATTGCTTCGAAATGCGAATAAAACAATATTATAAAATGATATCGCGCAATAAAGTACCTTTACGCCTTGGGTGCATTCGACGGCTCTCGCGGAATCGGGCAGGTTCGTGAATTCTCCCACAAATTCATCGTTGTTGATGTCTCTAGCGAAGATCATGAAGCCCTCGTACGCGAGGCCCTGGGGACTTCCGAGGATCAGCCGAACCCTGCCTCGTCCAGCAGCGGGTAGCACCTGATAAGGCGGATATGACGATTGAAGGGAGCTGCCGGGATGACGCGGCATCAGATCCGAGCATGTCTCCTGTGGTGCTCCATTGGGTAATCCCGATACCCTCGCGAGCAGGCCAATGGCCAGGAACAGCAACATCCTGGGCATTTCTGTAACAAAACAAGCACGAGATACGCTTTAGAGGATAGATACAAATAATGCCCAGTATCGCGATTTACAGCATATTTTTATTAATAAAAAATTGATTCCAGATCGACAAAGGAATCTGTTATTAAACGGACATTCGATCTTTTTAGGACACTTTGTATAAGTCATATGTTCAAAGCATTGCTTTACATCGTCATATTAAAATAGAAACTGATTTGTATCGCATAATCGCTTTTTAAACTTTTTTATTGAATTACTCTTATTGTTAGTATCGGATTTGCAATTAGCTTCAGCGATGCATCGTGAAAGAAAGAATTACAATATCACGAGCGCCTGGATTCCCTTAACCTCATTGGAAATGTAATGAGATGATTGGAAAACATTTAAATGAAACTGCACACTTGTTTAAACAGAGAATGCAGACAATGGGTTTGTTTGATGTTCGCATATTTCAATATTGAATTTATCCGGTATGACGTAAACAGAAATGTGCATCTGACGGCACAGTTCGCTATCATTTATTTTATCCGTAATGCATGTCTTATTTCCTTACTTATGTATATAGTAATATATGTACATACGCAACACGTTGCAATATAGTACTATATAAATTTCAATTTTAAAATAACCGTATTTGCATTAGTAACTGACAAATGCATTGGTAAATAACGCTCAAATTCTGTAAAGACTCATTTGGTATTTTTATCGACAATCGTATAACTTTATTCAACAATAGATTCCCGAATGATAAAAATATGCGATAAAAGTGTCATCTCTCTCTTTAATAAAATCGTCCTTCAATATTTATCCGTATTGCACAGTATCTAGATAATGACTTTAATATCGTCTTTATTTACACAATCTTCCTGATAAAATCCAAGTTTTCCCAAGCTGTTGTAATAAAGAATATTTATCCTGTATTCAAGTAGTTCTAATATATGGGATAATGATAACGACTCCAAAATAAAATCAGAAAATCCACGACGACAAGAAATATCGTAATCATTGATAATCTTTTTTTAATACATTACACACAGAGTGCAAGAGTTAATTGTTCAATCACGCGGAACATTAGATTGAGATAATTAAAGGGAGGGGTAGAGGAGAGGTGGATGGATGAGAAGAGGGAACTATCAAGACACTAATGAGCGGGGAGGAGCGCAAGAAGTGAATGACTCCCAGGAACGCTCGTTCCTTCGTGTACGGCCCACGCCTGAAAGAACTGACTTTCACCTATTGAGAGTTTTAAACTCCTTACGAGTTTCTTAGCTCGCGCATTCCTAAATGCCTCGGCGCAACTGAAATATTCCTGCCGTTATATAACTGCCGACTGACCCTCGCCATTGAAATGCCACGTAGTCGCGGAAAGGTTTGTATACTGCAACGTTCTCTTGAAACGAGGCGTGGAACGTTCGCTTGAAACGAGATCCCCTTAAAATTATTGCTTTGCCTTATATACACGCTGTTGAAGTTCGAGTTGCTATTTTCAGCCGGCATCGCTGCGTTTTCGCGCAAAATTTGATACATAAGTTTCTTTGTGACAAAGAAATATGGACGAGAAACTCAGCGATGAAATCAAGGAAGATATGCATAATAATACTTTAAATTTTAGAATTGAAAGTATACAAGGTGATTTATATGTAAATAAAATCTATTCGATCAACCGAGCAATTTATAGTTTTAATAATATGTAAAATATCGCATTGTGTATGTTTAATAAGGAAAGTGTCATTGATAGGAATATTTATGTACATTTTTGTAAATGTGATAATATCTTCCTAGGAAGTGAAGAATTAGCAGCTTGGTCGATAAAATGCACGATAAACTTCATGTAAATTTCATGAATCTCTGTAATCGCAAAGTCGGCGTGCATATTCGAGACAAGGTCGATCACTCGCGAATAATTACTAGTTGCAATTATATGTTCTACACTTTCACGCGTACAAGGACACACGCACATGCTCCAAGTTTGCCGATTAAAATTAGACCGTTCATCACGAGAAATTATTGTCCTGTCGCCTCGTCAAAGGCATAGCATGGTTTATTGTTGAAGGAATTAGGCGTAGACTATTTAACGACTATTTAAGTCAATGTGTATTAACTAGAAACAAAGATTCTCAAGAGATGACTCAAGATTCTTCATGAAGAATTGCAGTGAATCAGCATCAGGAACGTAAGTAGTTACATAACGTAATAGCAAATGTATATAGTAATACATGATTATTTCAAAAAATAATAGCGCACAGATCGTCTTCGCATAAGAAGTTTCCGCGAACGATTCTTTTCTAAATTTATTTCAAATTAAAAAACAAAATTATATTTATCCAGCGTGATGTAAATAGAAAAAAAAACCTTAATTTATAGCACAGCTATTATTATTATATCAATATTCATGCAAGCATATAAACAAAGTTACAAAATTGTTTCAAGTTTTATTGATGATATTTAATCAAGGTTCCATTTTTCAATAAAAATAAATATCATTTGACAAAATTTTTCACACACATACACGGACAGTGCGAATATAATAGAAAACTAACTACAAATATGCAATATTGGCGTCCGTACTTATTTTTCATTTCCATATTTATATTCCATATTCACGTCATAATAAACGATATACAGACGTAATAACCGTTAATTGGGAACGCATTCGCAAAGAATACAATTATCTCGACAATGCGGCAATCATGGACGAATATTGAGGCGAGTCCGTCGACACCGTCCAAGATCAATATTGCAGATGCACTCGAAATTTCTCTCGCGGACGGAGCCTGCAATTTGCAAACCGCTGCGACCACTATGTACGCGCACGTGCGAATTGGAGAACACATACACCTGGATACATCAATTACATGTACACCAGGAGGAAACCAGGACGATCGTTCCTTTTTTAGTCGTATAAAACCTCGTGACGATATCGCGAATAAAAAATCACTCAAGTCCGCAAGTTTGCGTTTGTGTGCGTGACATATCGGAGAGGAATTAAGACCACGATAATCACGTGTCGCGTGTGCCTAGCATTATCATGTATCATTATTTCATTGTATGGAGAAGAGAACGAGCACAAGGTTTCATTCTGCGGTTTATAACGCGTGTGTGATTCACCCGCGGCGTTTTACACCCGCACACATATACACGCGCATGTACGCATAACTATGCGCACGTACACAGAATTCACATCGACATGGATTCACCGCAGGTGGATTTCCTCCTGCGCGGTTCTTTGTGAGCGCACAGGAAATTCCCATTGTCTATATATATATATGATTTCAAAGGTTAAAATCGATGAGTATTTATTGCATAGATATAGTGAAAAAAACGACATCGTATAGTTTTCTTATATTCTGAATTAATTACGTGGCTCTCTTGCTACAGAATGTTAAGATATTCAAGACTACATTAAAATTTTTTTATGACGCTTTTTACTTATAACACATGTCAAGCAATTGACATTATTCATTATATATATTTAAATATGTTTAAGTGATAATCTTTTTTATTCTAACATTTATTTAAAACTTTGAACATTTAAAAAAAAGTGCAAGCGGAAGAAAAAAATATATTTATCGCTTTATCATTTAATTATCGATATTGTTTACATAACTATCTGCGGGTTCTCGTATTTAAAGTAGAAAGCCGACCTCATTTACTAACAAAATAGAAACCGATTATGGTAGCACAGTATACTGCTATCGTTTAAGTGAAATATTGTGATTACCGAAATTATGGAATGGCGGAATGGTTCCGTAATTTTGCCAACATTTCTTTTTTCTTGTTTCGTCTATTTTCCTATTATTATCGCTCCATTTATTTGCATATACATTTAACGCTATAATATTAAGTGTTACTCGATACAACTGGTATTTATATTCATAGTATGATCTTCTTAGTAGTATATTTATCTTTTGTTATGCAACGTGATCCTCACATGATGCACTTTCGCATATTACCTAGTCATGCGCTTAGCAAGTGATTACTAATCTGTCATTTCAACATGAAACAGACGTTATGATTAAGTTACGTCATTTGGAACAAATCAACTGAATATCGTATAACAGGTGCAGCATCAATAATAACGTAGCTTAAAATTATATATTAAACGATAATGAGACATTTTAGTTAATGACTGTCATGGATATGTGTGTTGGAGGTGTGCCCAGGTACGCCCTAATATTTCACTGTCTCTTAATTTCACAGTACTTTATTTAACAATCAGAATATATGCTTTTGAAAAAATCGAGTGGAAGAATTATCTCGCATTTATTTAATTATCTTAAGCTGTTTTTCACAATATTTGCCTAATTTATTTTATTTTTGCCTGATATTATTATTATTATACAATATAAGCTTGCAGATTTTAATGAAACATGGCACATTTTTATACAATTTTAAATACTTTTACTGAATGTTATTTTATGTTATACTACATCGTCGAGTAGCTAGATATTTATGACATACATCTTTGAAAGGTTAATTGTATTCGTATGACTTGTAAGTTTCTACCGCTCCCGAATGTCATTAGGCAAACAAAGTATCGTGTCTCGTCTCTTCCGTGTTTACTGAACGTATCGCCATGGTTACGATGCCCTGTTGTCCTAGAATTTCCACGTCGAGCATTACTCTCGCGTCAGTACTGCCAAACCGCAAATTATTTTATCGGTTACATAAACCAGAGACCGCACCGCGCAAGAATTCAGGGAAACTCCATTCATCGTAGCCGCAATTATTCTTAACGATCTGCTCCTTAACGAGTATAACGCTCCTCCGCGACATATCGATCTTGCTCCAATTGTTTCGCTTTGTCTTATGCACAAGTTGAGTCAATTAGGGCAAGGATGGACATAGACATGAACATTATTCTCGCATCTAATCTACAAGGTCCTTTATCTTAGTCGTAAACCTTAAAAGATCCCCATAAATGATGAACTTATTTTTCCCGAATCGTCTCTTAAATCCATATGTTGAAAAAGACATGTGTAATGAAAAAAATATCTTTTAGTAGCATTTTTAAAAATATATTTTTAATTAATAAAATACATAAATATAACACAACAATAGAATAAAATATATGTTATCTTTTATAGGGAATAATTATACAGAAATCTATATTAGAAATGTCCGCGAGTTATATTTCGTATATGTTTATTTTTTTTATTCATTTTCTTATTAATTTTTCTGCATGTCTACAAAATAAGCCATTTATCCAAATTATAGATAAAATTAAGATAAGGCAAAAATTGTTGATATACGTCATATTGCATTTTTCGGAATTGATTGAGTCAATTAATTAATGGCGATGACTATTTTTCTCACAGACGGTAAAACCCAGCAGTGAATAATCGCATATATTATTTATCGATTGTACTAAAATGAGAAATAACGCGTATCTATATATAATATACACTCATTTAAGTGTACATCAAGAGGATTTTGCGAGGCGATTTCTCCAAAGTTGATTAACTTTAATCGTAATTCAATCATCTCTCTCGAGTTTCTGTCTCTGTATGTAGGAGAAGATGGAAAGACGCGATTGCCCCTCGATTCAAGTTAATCGACGTCGGAGAAATCAGCCCTAGAGCGATCGAAGGGATCTCAGATCCAATAGATCCACTCGATTTTCCGTTTGATTGTCGTTGCATAGAAACGTGTACCCATCAATTATGACACTCGATGACACGAATTAAAGAAAAACTGTTTAATAATAAAAACTGTTTAATCAATTTTCCCACATAAACGTATAAAAATTTATTATGTTTTAATACATAAAATATATACGAGAGAATTTATTAGACAGCTTTATATATATATTTATATTTTATTTATTTGTAGCATTGAGATTCATTGTGTTTCTCACAAGAAGGAAGAATCATTGTGTTTCTCTCCGTATATATATATGTATACATATATAAATATAAAACATATCAAGCTAACCGATTTTACATATGTGATGATATATAAATGTGAAATATACGGAGAGGAACACGATGATTCTTCTTTCTTGTGAGAAATGAGACAATGAGTCTCAACTCTACGAATCATCTACATGATTAATCTCTATGTAGCGGAGAGGAGATTTAGATCATCGTCACGTTTATACTCAGAATTCTGAAACGGGCAGAGGAAGTAGCGGCTGAATTTCTTATGAATATTTCCTACGAGATTTCTTCATAAGGCTACTTCATGAATTTTAAGATGTCTAACCTTGTTTATTTCTGTACACAAGTCATCTTTCCACTTTAATTTACATTGCATCTTATGCGATTCATTCAGTTAGCTTCAAAGAAAAAATTGTCGTAAAATAGTCTCTTTTTCCGTCAAAAATTTTAATTAATAATTAACGATGAAAATGTTTTTCACTAATGCCATCGATATGCAATTATGTCTTCAGCGTCACGTATACTAGTTATTTGTATACATATATGTGATACAACAATTTTATAGTATATATCAATTCCTTGGTTTAATATTAATTAAATTGTATTAGAAAGCCATATCAAGTATTTAAATTTAAGGTATTTTAAATTTTTTACAGATATATATGAGAATTTAAAAAAAAAATCGTAAAAGAGACATTATATATAACATGACTTTTTTATTGTCTAGACATCAATTCTGGAAACGCATTAATTTTTCCGATTATTGTTCACGAAAAAGAAATGATAAACAATTTTTAATTTTAAACTGCAAAAATATCATCAATGCAAATTAGAAAATGGAAAAAATTTTTTAATAAGAAAAAAACTATTTATATTAATTCTTAGATGGTAATGTCGATCTTGAGGACTATAAACTAATTTTAAAGAATGAAGATTGTTGCGAGTGATGTGAAAATGTTGAGATCTTCACCAGCTGGTTCCATCTGGCTCAAAAAGAAAAAAAAAACAAGAGACCCAGTTTGTTTACGAATCTTTAAATAGATACTGGAAACTACTGTGAAAAGGTGATTTTGTCGGTAACGATTCCGTACATCGACATGCTTTTAGAAAAGATAGTAAGAGCATAAATTGTTAATCAACCGGGGTCACATATCTGCTTTTTCTTCGATCACAGACGGCTGACGGTTAAAGAACCCAACGTATGTTTTCATTACTTGCTCGCATACATCAATTCTTCAAAATTGGTACCGTAGATCAATCTTACGTTTTCTGAGGATTAAAAAAATCGTATCCTTATAAATATTACATTTTTGTATATGTATGTGTGTATACACAAGTTGCATATAAATCCCATGAAACCATCGTAATTTAGAACATCTGCTGAGGATTAAATCCCATGAAACCATCGTAGTTTATAACATCTGCTTAGGATTAAATCCGCGATTATCGCGCAGGTACTCACTGATTCTTGTATCTGCAATTGTTGATCCTTGACAGCGTTCACCACGGCGTGTAACACGCGCGCCAAACAAACTCGCGACGAGGTCACGTGTGCGTTGGTGCCCCGGCGGTGTCACGATAACACGCGTGCACTAATTCCACGACGATGGGGTACACCGTCGGGCAGGTCGCCTCGTCGACATCGTAGTTTATAACATCTGCTTAGGATTAAATCCGCGATTATCGCGCAGGTACTCACTGATTCTTGTATCTGCAATTGTTGATCCTTGACAGCGTTCACCACGGCGTGTAACACGCGCGCCAAACAAACTCGCGACGAGGTCACGTGTGCGTTGGTGCCGGCGGTGTCACGGTAACACGCGTGCACTAATTCCACGACGATGGGGTACACCGTCGGGCAGGTCGCCTCGTCGACAATCCCGATCGACCGTCCGTTCTCCAATGTTGACGCGTCGGACGCGTCCGTCCGGTCGAGGGAACTCGCGAACCGTCCTGTTCGCGATCGAGAGTTTCGATAAATCGCACTTGGAGAAAAACACGCACTCGCGTTTAATCGCGCGGCTTCCCTCGTCGACGTGGATTGGATCGAGGGAAAGACTCAGGAAAGACGCGCCGCTGACTCGATCGTTTGCCGGATCTCGCACGACACTTGTTGATCCCGCGGCGGCATACTTCCGTCTCTATAGCGTCAAGAACCACACCTTGCGAGAGACTGTACGAGAAATACGGGCCGAGTTGAAAGGCCCTCAGTCGTGAGACCAGCTCAGGCTCGTAGCGGCTGATCCATGACGCCACTCGATACCGATACTTTTGTTACGGTGTCTCTTTACTATCATCGGTATAGCTACGCGAATCTGTCTGCTCGAATGCGGAATACTGTGCAAATTTTGTTCAATAATTTAAAACCGAAATATAAATTGAAATATGCTAAATTATTATAAATGTAAAATAATCGAGAGATAACAAATATATTTAATAAGGACCTTGCGAGAAAGGTGATTACTTATATGAAGGAGAAGGCTTTTGAGGAAATAATTAGAAAATATTTAATGAAATAAATGTTGTTAAAAAATCGTTGAAAATAGTTAGCAAAAGAAATCGCAATTAAAATAACAAGATGATGCGAGACCAAATTATCTTTTTTTTTTAAATAAGATTATTTTTTTAAGAGTTGGAGATATTCCCTTTAATGGATCATATCATTTCATATAATTGCATCGGGTAATTGAATCATAACATCTATTCTCTTGTTAGTTGCATCTTTTACGTTTTCTTACTTTTCTCTTTCAATCTTTCTCTTCAGAATGCTTGAATGTATACTGATTTTATTTTGGATTATATATATTTCAAATTATATCATGTGTTTAATTTGTATTGTATTATTTTTCAACGATAGATTTTTTATACTCATATATGTACACATACAAAATTATGTAAAAATTATCAAGATTTTTTCGTTACTTTTTTATGTCCGTATTTAGAACACTCGCTAAGCCGGCACTGAATTATGTTAAGAGAAAGAGAGAGAGAGAGAGAAAGAAAGAGAAGAGAGAGGGATTAACGACACAAAAACGGTACGACGCGACGTACCGTACGTTCACCATTCGTCGCTCACCTGAGTTTTATTGGTGTATTTTTTGTCATTCTCCTTCGCATTCTACCTCGCATACTGCCAATGTCTCGTCGTCGTTGTCGACCACAGACGTAAAAAAAAAAAAGGAAAAGAAAGAAAAAGTACGTAAACGGTATCGGACGAATTAAAGAGTACATCGATCTCTGAAAATAGTACTAGAACATTTAGACATACAAATTTATTTATCTTTTTCATGCCTTTTTGATAACGTTTATAAAATTAAATCATTAGTTATATTTATATTTAATTTCCGTTTTTATATCACTTAATGTAGTTTATATATATCATATAATCATGTTGCATAAAAACATGTATACTCTCTTTGTTACATTTACAGTAAATAAAATCTTATATATTTCATTATATATAAAGATATATTAGATGTGTATTTAAATTTGCCTCTCTTTTATCAAGATAACGAGGTAAAGTTGAATTTTGATATGGCTAAATCTTTCTTAATTCGAGAATGGAAAGATTAATACGTGTTCTCGAAAAAAAGAAGCGCGACTTAATGGGAGTTTTCAGCGACTGAGATTCTACAGAGAGAAATTGCTAAATGTGTTTAACGAGACGATTAGAAAATATCCTGTACATTTTGTATATTATAGGTATGCGGTTTACTTTTACCGGATAATGTAAATTGATAAAAACGATTCCGGTTTATACACAGTGTTGCTTCAAGATGTACCATTTATCCGCATTCTACATAAAAAATTATTTTATCGACCCTTTGTCATTAAATTAGTACATATCAAATCTAAAAGCTTCTTTGTCTTATCTTTTAATTACTTGATAGATAAAATATCACACAATAAAATCTTAAAAATGTACAAGTTGCTCTCATTTATTTTAATACACGATAATCTTATATTACGTAAATTACGATTATCATAAATTCCTGCTATTCTTATCGATTTTATCTCTAATTAATTTTGTTATTATATTATAATTAGTTTGCTGTTGTTAAATTGAAGAACTTTTATTTTCAAATTCTCGAATCTATATTTTTTAACAGCTTCGTCTGTAATTGAAAATATTACATAATCTAAATTAAAATATATATGTAATTTGCGATAAATTGAATTATGCAAATGATGGATTTATTATTTTATTTGATTGCTATAATCTATAATCTATATTATTGAGTAATACAGGAACGAGATTACCGTTTGTTCCTTGACTTCGCACTTGCTATGAGGTTTCACAGATGTCGACTGTTCCTGCAATTCTTGCGGTGTTTCACGCACTTTTATCCTTCGCTTATCCACCAAAATTTATCGAAAAAAATACACAAATTAATTATACAAATTGTTTAATTTCTTCTAATATATATAATTGTTCTTTTAATACAATATTATTTCATATATTATTTCTTTTTTATTACTTGCAATAATTTATTAATTTTCTTGTAGACTTACTTTAATTGCGTTAAGGTAGTTACGGTAAAATACCGGGACGAACGACGAGTTAGAGTTTACATCCCACTTACTTATGGACGTAACTCGGTAAAAAATAAAACAAAAGAAACATTGTACCTTTATTTCTATATCTTACAATTAGACGTAAAAGTTTTGTACAAAATATAAATAAAATTAAATTTTTTTAAATTTTATTTCTATTTAATATATTAAAAGGCTAATTTTTTATTATTCCGGGATGCCAAATGTTTTAGAGACGCTACTGTAATTGATATAAACCTGTTTTCCTACTGTTGAGTCACTAGTTGACAGAACATCAAAGTGCGTTGCAGAATATATCGCAGAGTTTGCATCATGGAAGTAAAGTATTTTGCAGAAATATCCTCATTTTAATAATTATGTATGTACATAGATATGCTACAACATAGATACGGGGTTGGGAACGTCACTCTATAAAAGTAACGCGTTACCGTTACCGTTATTTTTTGTAAAAAGTAAGGGCCGTGGTACATAAAAAAACTTAGGGCCACCGCACAAGCTTTTCCGTAATGCATTACGTTACGTTAAGTACTGAGACGTAAGTTGAATGAAAGACTCGTAACAATTCTAAATAAAACTTAAAATTTTGTTTTTTTGCTATATTGAGATCTCTAGATTTCAATTTGATTTGAAGACAATTACTAAGGTCCTAAGAGAATGCATTTACTAAACCTAATAGAAAATCCAACACTGCAATAAATTATAATTTTATTGTATATTAAATATTGAAACTATTATTATAATCATTTGATATCAAACTATAAATTTATTATCTTAACAAAATTCGCGGGAATAAAACCATTTTTTTACTGGCGCGTCTTCAAACAATTTCATAGTTTAATTATGAAAATTGTAAAAATTACATGAGTTTATAACGTATAGATATTTTAATGACTCATAGGAAGATAAACATATGACTAATCTTTATCTTAATGATTAATTAATAGCATTTTATAAAGAGGTCCCCGAAGAGAAGAGCCTTTAGATGGCAGCAGTCATCATGAACTTTATTATCGGTGAAGTTAAAATAGCAGTATAAATTCTCAAAAGTTTGACAAAAAACAAAAAAAAGATCTAATTACAAGAGAATAATATATATACAATATATTTTATATATTTAAATTTTTTTAAATTTTATGGGCCCCTAAATGGTCCATGGCATATCACGTAACTGATAATGATGTCACGTGACATGTCATGGACCAATTAGGTAATACTAGAAAGAGATACCAAAATCCAAACGCACCTCTCTCTCGGCGAAATAGTGGCGACAGCCAAACAATGGGATCGCTAATTCCAGTATATATAGAGTTCAATGACTCTTAGGGCCACCGCACAAGCTTTTCCGTAATGCATTACGTTACGTTAAGTACTGATTCTAAACCTAAACTCGTACGTAATTTTAAACTTCAGTCAACGCACAGAGAAAATCGTAACGTAACAAAAGCATACTACGTTACAATTTTGTTTGTGCGTTGACTGAAGTTTAAGGTTACGTATGAATTTAGGTTTACAGTCAGTACTTAACGTAACGTAACGTGTTATGGAAAAGCTTGTGCGGTGGCCCTTAAGCAATAAGACTTAAGACGTAAGCGAATTGACCAATCACGGTCGAACATTAAGGCAGCCATATTGAAACGTAAGCTGAAAATTCCGTATGGTTGAAATTCTTAAGTCTTAAGTCTTACTGCTTAAGTTTTTTTATATGCCCGGGCCCTAACTCGTTATCGTTACTCGTTACTGATTTTAAAAATTTCCAAGTAACGCGTTACCGTTACCGTTACTTGGAAAGTAACGATTCGTTACTTTTTCGTTATGTTTTTGTTTTTTGTAATGCTAAAATAAGCTATTAGATTATAAAATTATTTAATAATCAATATTAAATGTAATAATCTATGTTACAATTAAAAACTCTAAATTAGTCTCTATATAGCAAGCGTTTTTTATATTAAACTTATTTAATGATTCTAATTTTTTATATTAATATTTTTACTTTTTAATACACTTATCTTTATAGAAATTTAAATTGTAATTTACAAATTTCAATTTTGTCGAAAATTTTTATCAAACATTATTTTTAAATATTGATAAGAAAAATATTGATATTATTAAGAGTGCATTCCAATATTCACTGCCAGTATTGTAAAATCTATAATTTACGTTACTACAGATTTTCAGTACTGGCAGTGACTATTAGAATGCAGTCTATGATAAAAAGCTACAAAATATTTTTCAAAAAATACATCTATCTATTGAATAGATATAAGATAATAAAGAACCAAAAAATAACGATAAAAGTAACGGTTAATTCGTTACCGTTACTGTAAAATTGTAACGACGTTACCGTTACCGTTACAAACAGAAAAAAGTAACGGTCGTTACAAGTAACGCGTTACTTCCCAACCCTGCATAGATATGCTTGAATGTCTTTTGTATCACATTGAATATCTCGCATGTAACAGATTAGCTTTAAGTCAATCTATTTTGTTCATAAACATAAGATACTGGCAAATCGAGGTGACGGATCAAATCAAGCAGATCTACTAATTTGCACATTTTTTAATTGTTGGCGGAAATGAAAAATTCAATGTTTCGGCAAACAGATAACACGTCTTCTCTCAATCTTTTTCATCTCTGCGCGTGTATGTTGCAGGTGCGCATGTGCGTCCAAACAGCAGCGGTCCAGCACTTGCCGGCCGCGTCATTCTTACAAATAGATACATTGCGATCGTTTAGCGCGAGAAAAGTTTATGTAGCGATCGCGTCGCGTGACGTTTGAAATTCCGCGAAACTCAACAGGAGTGGCACTTGTAGTCGCCATCGATTGGTTGCATCACACAAGTTTGTTTCACGATAACGCGTAGTTGTTGAAGTGTATGAATTGTTTATTGATAGTCGGCAGATCCCGGATTTAACATTCGCCTTATATATGACTCTTAAAAGATAGCGAGGGAATTACCAAGCTTAATAAAGAAACAATATCTATAAGCAAATCGTGATAATTAATTGTAAAATCGCAGTATTGTTAGAAATTGTGGTACTTCGTTCTGGATAGGAAATCCAATAAAGAAAAAAAAGAAAAGTTTGTTTCCGATAATATTCATGGGCATGTCACTATTTGCCTGTTGCGTCCGTCAGGTGAGTTAATGTTTGTTTCTACACTACAATCGTAAGAATGTATACGAATTAAACAAAAGCAACTGATTAACTCCATCTTTTGTAAATTTTTTAATTTTAATATCAGAGCACATTATTAGCACTAATATCATGATTAGTTGTGTTATCGTACTAAAATTAAGAAATTTACAAAAAATGTAATTGATTAGTCTAACTTCTTAATATAAAAGGCCCATACAGTTACTTATTTGTTTGCTCTGGTTAAACTTGACTATAAGCGAATTGACTACGTGCAATTTTAATCGCGTCAATGTGTGTCAAATGCGCAAAATTGACAGCACTTTGCTTTCTTTGAAAATTTGTTTGCAATGTGCTGTTGGCGCTTATTGGCGCCTAACTAAATTCGGTCATCTGACTGTGGCGCCTTTAGGCGCTCGGCAATTTATATTGGCAATAATTGCATAATGTAATTCAGTGTTTCGATAACTAGTATATAGCTTTTGAAAAATGCGCGCGAACGACCAGTTTCGCCGTCGATAGCGTCGGATGCAGTTGAAATTTGCTGTCTGTCACGCGTGCCACGTATTAAGATCTGCCGCAGCGAAAGAGTTAATATTTGTTCTTATTCTAATTACTTTAATGTTATATTTAATATTAACGCATGAAAATTATACAGATATAAATCTTTTTTATTTATAATTTATTTGTAATTTATTGCTTTTTTTATTTGTTATACGAAATTTGTATAACATTTGTTGACTAGAATGCAAAGTAGCTAAGCGTTTTTATGTCTAAAATAATATAGTTTATTCTTTTTCTTTCGCTTGCTGTTATCATGTGTAGTTTTTTAATATATTTTAAATATAGCTTATACATACACATAATTTTTAATAATTTTGTTTATTTTACAAGTTTATTTAGATAAATCAATATTTTACGTTATTTATCTATGACAAGTAATAGTTTTATAAAAATTTAAAAAATTTGATAGATTTGTTTAACTTGAATAGATATTTGAAACTATTGATATTAATGCGAGTATGATTTTTTTTCTTTCAGATTGTTATATATATTTTTATAATTAATATAAATACATAACTTTATTATAAAATTTTATATATTTGTGCATAGTTATAAAGTTAATTAAGCGACAAAAGATATGGGACGAAAAAATTTAGAATAACGGATCAATGCATTATTCTTTCTTTCTTTTATAAAAGTATAAAGGCTAGAACAAAGTAATAAACAACATAAACAGTTGTTTTACAATGCGAGATATTGTAGCTTGAATTTCCTTCGCTCAACCCCTGTCGTTCAGGTGGCAGAATCGATAAACAGAAAAATAAAGCAAACTGCAGGACCGCCGTAGGCGTTAAACGAGTGCGTGCATTTTTTTATATATGTATATGTGCGTTCGCGTACGTATTCGTACGTGTATGCGCGCCCACGAAGAGAGTGAACGTCAAGCTGCTCGCTAGGATGAACAGATACATTTTACGCTACTTAACGGATTTTATGCTCAAGTGTCAAAGGGACTTGGCGTCCTTGCTGTAATCAGGGGGGGGGGGGGTATTAATAGAACAACGTTTCGCTGTTTTGCAAAATTTTTCTTAGAATCGATTTCGTAGCCCTTGGCTTCGACGTCGATGACGTCGAACCGTATTAGTGCGCGAAATTATTTAAAAGCGGATCACTTGTTTATATTTTTTAGCAGAAAGCTTTTAAGTATACGTACCATTTCTTCACATCTCTTATTTTCACAATCAAAAATTTTTTTAATAAAAAAACAACACAATATTTAAGAATTCTAATATTTGAAAATTTTTCAAAAAAATCTTTTCAAACATTTATTTAATCTTTATACTGAAAAAATTAAGATTTCTATTCAATTTTGTCTTCTTTAGTTAATCCTATACAATACGCAAGTTTAATTTGTGACGTCATCAGTGAGTGTTTTTTCGCGCGAGAGTCAGTTCACGAAAGTATTATCTCTTCACAGAATAATCGAGCGGAAGAAGCACGTCAGCAAATGCTGCAGACGAAGGAGCCGCCGGAGTTATCGTGGGAGAACACGCTGGGTTCACCCCATGGTGTGCCCTTCGACGACGATACGAAGGACTTGCTGAAAAAATGCCTCGATGTCTCCGTGCCACCACCGACCAGTCTGGCGGAGCTAATCAAGCGGGGCGATGCATTTCCCGTGAAGTTTCCAATTAGCACCATGAGATGCGCCTCCCTGAGGGATAGGGGAGTCAGCGCGGAGACTATTGAGGTTTGCGTAAATGTAGCAAATTAAATTTGATCGAGCGTATATCGATGATATACGTTCATATGAGTTAGATATCGATCATATGAATTAGAGAATTGCAAACTTTTGATTAAATATTCTTTAAATAGATATTGCTTGAAAATTGGAGAACACTTTACTTTAGTTGCTTGATTTTCTGAAGATCATCATTTTGTATATCTTTCTTTAAAAAATCAGTTTCGTAAGTTTAAATCTGAGCTCTTTTCTTACCTTCTATGACGTTTAATGATTTCGATTAATTTCAATGCAATGCCAAATTTTTTTATTTAGTTAAACGCGAATTCGACATATCCGCTGATACACGAGGCGATGTTGCCCATGATTGCTGGATGGTTGAAACACAAGCGGTTGTACGGTAGCGCTGTCGAGAAAGCCTTGTATAAAGATATGAGCCTCATCCAATTCATTCACCGCCTGCTGGAGAAAAGGGCTATTTACTTTTACGGCCCAAACGATCGATGGAAATTAATCGACAACAAGACTGGCATCGACGGATGGGAGAGTATTGGTACGAGCAATGAGAAGGAACCATTGGTAAGTACGTGAATTCTTTTTTTAAACAAGCACAAAAATACTTCATAAAGTAGTTACATTATATAATATTTAAATTAACTAATATATAATAATAATTTAATAATAATAAAATAACTCTTGAAATGCTTCTCTCAGTTTTGTTTTCGTAAAATAATGTCTTAAATAAAAATTCTCATCCCTCTATCTTTTTTTTTGCACTTTATTACAGGCTATTGAATTTTCTCTTTAGATCGATATAACGTTACATATGTTTACCGATATTGAAAATTTATAAGATATTAAAAAACACAATGTATAAAGGGTTGTTTCTTATGATACATCTTCTTTTGATATCGCGACGGTTCTTAAGCTTTGTAACCGTCTTTAAAATTTGACAAATAGGTCCTAACAAAATGCTTGAGCTACGACGAGATAAAATTATCGGCGATGATGGTGGTATCATCTCACACGGAGTTCATAAACGACGGCGCGCGAAATAATAGAGGCATCGTGAGCAGTGACCCAGACGCAGTCCAACCTCGTGGGGTTATTATGGGTGTCATAGGCACAAGGTTTTATGCATTTATTTAACCCCGCCTTCTGCAGGAATATTTTTATACGCGCAAACCACTGTGACGTTCCTGTCGTGTCTGCAGATGTTCTATTTTTATCTCCTTCGCGCGTGCGATTATTTATATCTGCAAAAATTTTCGCAATGATTATTGAAATCGCCACGAAAATGCCGATAATTCTTAACAAGATATTTTTATCTTTTTTTTATTTCTATTTTTCCGTATGCATTTTTCTGTACATATCAAGCGACGCGGTAGCGTCCCGACGCCAAGTATATAAAAAAAATATTATTTTCTGCAAAAAATTTTCTGAAAAATTCTATAGAGAGAATCCGTCAAAAATTTATTACGATATCTTACTAATAAATTTATTAATTATGTCATTTTATCTATCACGTAGATTGGAAAGGCCCCGAGTTATGGAGTATCAGGATATTCTCATCACGCCGTTGCAAAACAATATAAATAACGGGTAAGCAATGACTTTCCGCAATAATTATGTTGCGTTACAGAGTACATTTTTTTAGCAACACTTATTTGAAGATAAATTTATTCGTATCATAACGCTAAATATAACGTCGGATATCTTGATGTATTTTGCTTAATCTTTGCTATTAATTATAATAAAGATATAAGATACAGCATCTCTCTTTCAAAATCTCCAACACGCTATATTAACTGAAAGCTCGAGGGATGGTAGTTACAGTTAATACAACGTTATGATGTATAGTGTCTTTCTACATGTACTTGTATGCAAAGTTTCTTTCCTTATATCGTACAAACGAAATTCTTTTGAAAGAATCAATCTATATGAAATAGGTATGGACCCGGGATAGATGGCACGTCCGAAGAAAAACGTGGGATGCGTGTTTTATGGGCGAAGTTTTACGGCGCGGATTATCATCCGCTCTATGAGGAAATTGTGAAAGGCGTTAAATCGAAAGAAAACAAACGTTACTTATCGTTAAGCAGCCAGACTATCTTCGATATCGAGAATTACATGAAGAGGACTCTACTCTCCGTAGAAATAATATTGCTCGAGGCGAACACTCGCGCCGAGAAGCAAAACACGACCGCTTTCTTGCACGTGGTCGGTTTTGGCCTCGGTTAGTGCAATAATAATCTTGTCGTTGCAACGACTATATATAAGATTGAATTTTTTATATTGATTATTTATTGAAAGTTGTTTTGTATCTTTCTCTTCGATTATTGATTAAATAAATAACGATTTGTAGGTGTCTGGCAAGTAATTCAGGATCAACAGATGTATTTCCTGAAAACGTTCGAGATCGCTATTAAAAAGATGAACAAGAAGCTCAAGTACGTTTCTGATATCATGTTCTCTTACTTCCGGCAGCAGAAGTGCGGCGACGCAGGAAACGGCGATTATCTGGGCAGTTAGTAAATAATAAATATATCTAGTAATAAATAATAAATATTTACAAACATTCTTTCTCTTCTCTTAATAACGAAATTTTCAGATATAAAAATTCATTTTGCCATGAGAGAACCACACAGTAAGCTATTTCGAGGTACTGATGCGAATAAACTGCTCATTGTCACTTATGCCTGGGATGGAAACGCGTTGCCAGGTATTTAAGCATCCTGATTATTTTATTTAATTGTTTGCTTATTTATTGCCAGTTCAATATTAATTTAAATGCTGTATTTAATAAAGCACTTGTGTTCTTTCTGCAGGAAACGAATTCTGGAATGGTTATCTAGAGTCCAGCGGCGATCCAGCGGCGGCGTGCAGCAGCCAAATAACCGAGCTGCATAATTCCAGAATCAATCCACGCGCATGCGGCTTCAGTTTGCACGTTGCATCTGCGGCACACGGAATTCTGCACATATCGGATTACGCAAAGCTTCACCTTACTTAGGTAATATCCGATACGTGCTTCTTTATCGCCGCCGGTCTTCTTTGTTGAATAAAGTTCTATTTTGTGAACGTAATCACGTGTGCGAAATGATAAACGATGTTGCCTTCATGCCTTTGCATAATCGAAAAATTGCGAAAATTATTATTCCTTCTTTATCCTTTAATTTTTTAATAAAATCAGTATAATAATTGATGGTATATTGCATGTATTTACCGGAGAATATTTTATATCGAAAAAATTGAATTATTGATAACAAGTAATTGTTAGAGGAGTCTATTAAATGATTTATCCCTTCTTCTCCCACTCCCTATCTCTTTATATAATAAAAACAATCTTTTTACTAGAATGAAATTTAGAAAATTGCCAATATATTAATAACAAATTTATTCATATAAAAAAAAATCTTTATATCAATGAAATATGCATAATTTAATTTCGACATATCTTACAAAAAAAAAAGAAAAAGAAAACACTAAAATAATGAACACAATACGTCATGGTATTTTCAGTACTTACATTTACAAACATTTTAAAAAAAGATCCATTATTTAATATATGTACATTTTATTTATTAATTGCATAATGGATTCAGAGTTAAATTCTATATATTACAGGTTCCATAATATTATTTTTTTTATCTATTGTTTCTTTTTAAAATAAAATAACATCTCATAAATTTAAAATTAACACAACATATATTGTCGTTTAATTCTGCTTCATGTACGAAAGTATTTCATTCCAAAGTACACTATTCTCTCCATACATTCGCCTAAACCTTAGGAAAGGGCCAGCCCGGCGAACAACGGGCAACAACGAAGACCGTCTCGATCACCGCGCAGCCAGCGTAGCCGCAGTGCGGATGTAGACTGTTTGAAGAAATACACGGAACGTCGCGTGGAGGATCGTCGGCACACGGAGATTACCGACACCAGTAAACTGGACACGTCGAGATGGATGCCATTGCCGAGATACGTGCCGCGAGGTCAGCAATCGCCGGGGGCCATCAAGAGATCGTCGAGGGACGAGCGGCAGGAGAGCATCGACGAGACGGCAGCGACGACTACGTTAGCCGAGAATCGATTCTCCAGGATCGAGCCCGAGATCGTTGGTCGATCTCAACCCGCCGTCAGAAGTTATAGCACCGACGTGACCGCCACGAAGGGAGTGGAAAAAAGCATCATCGAGCAACGAAGGCACACGGATTGCAGCGATCCACGAACCATCGCCACGAGGTTGACCGCGCACATTTTCCACGTCCGAAAGCGAGAAATGCCATGATCGGGATTGTAGTTGAGATTCGTAGGCGCGATTGATAGTCATTACGGAGCCTCCAACGGGTAATGGCGTCTAGTTTCGGTCAGATGTTGTTGCTCTGCTTTCTTCCGTGTTCGTCTTTCCTGTTTGTACGATTTTGTGTGCGCTATTTTTGGATTAGCTTTGGCGATTTTATTGACGGAAATTCACGTTGGTTGACGGACCATGCCGAACGGTACAACGTGAAAACATAGTGGTGCCTGGTTTGTTCCATTGACCGGAACTAGTCGCTAATATTTTTTCACGTTGTGACGCTCCTCGTATATTTGTGATTCGCCGCGATGTCAGAAAGATTTATAAAAGTAATTAACTAACGATAACTTTCCATTGTACAGAATACTTAAATTGTTCAAATGTTTCAATGTTTAATTGTTCTTCCTTATCTTCCCTGTTTTCTCGTGAAGAATAATTATTTCCATGGAATTATTTGGAAAGCAATTTTGTGATTAAAAAATCCCTACAAATGTGCATGAATAATTGGTATTGACTTTATGATTCTGTGATGATGTCTTTTCTCGCAAATTCTAATTTAATAATTAATTATTTTAATATATAATTATATTAATAATTTTATATAATTAATATAATTATTAATAATTAATTAATAATTGATTTAATAATTAATTATAAACTGAACGTTCTTTTATACAAGTAAAGTAATCTATTGCGGCCGAAAATGGCAGTTGTTAATCATAAATAGTAGCCTTTACCTGTCAAGATTTTTTCTTTATATGTGTATTTGTGTATATATGCAGATAAAATAGCAAATACTTGTAAGTTTGAAGCAAACATTCGACCACGAACATCTGATCTTGCTTAGGTGGATACCACAAGTTAGCGGTGCAAAGTTTCGCCGAGAATCGTCTCCTCTTGCAAAAGATGGCTGTGAGATTACACAGAGCGCGACTACCCGATGGATAACCTTTGCCAAAAGTCCATCACCCAGTCCCATACCAAGAATAAATCCTGAGAGAAGAGATTCCATAACGGAGCACAGCAAAGAGGAAGAAGAGCCGCGCAAGGATGCGGATACCTCTAATAGTAAATGGCAACCCTCTAGAAAGTTCTCGCCAGCGAAGAACGAGAAAGCGCATTTACAAAGACAAGGTAAGTGATACACTTAATCATTTTAATATACATCTCCCGATTCATGCTGCGATATTTAATTGCAGACGAATTAGACATTGGCAGAGATCGCTCGTCGAGTTTTATCGATACTAACGAGCGAGCGAACAAACTCAGCCAACGTATGCGAGATTTATACGATTTCAAGACGGAGAACGAGTGGCCGAAGAGAGCGGGAAGTTCCCAGCAAGAGAACACTTGGATCAGTATAAGTAGCAGTGAGGAGGAGAGAGGAAATTATCGACCGATTCGCAGAAACAGTCAAGATTTGGAATTTAATGATAGAATCGACATATTCAAGGTACACGGATTAAGATTTAAAAACATGCTGCTTTCAGGAGTCAACATACACCTCGCGTTTGCTTTGTACTTTTTTTAGACTAAGATTCAACACGAGGAGGACAGACGAAGACCAAAGCGCAGTACCCATGACGCCAGCGAAGTGTTTATGAACGAGCAGGAGGAGGAGCGTCTACGAAGGTTCAACGACAGGCTGCGATACAGCGAGGATCATGGCACGGAGCGGGTTCGTGGTCGCGAGCGACGCACATACTCGGACGATTACGACGAGAAAGCTCGGCGTGCGTCCCGGCAACCGGAATCGCCGACGATCAGACGGGATCGACCAGAAGCACCGACGATCAAGAGACCGTTAGCGAACGTGGAGAACAAGCGGAATTCAGACGTGAGTGCGAGATCACGCGACTCGCGAGTCAGCTACGTGGAGGTGGACTTCCCAAAGAGGGATTCTCGTACCAGCGATGCCAGTTACGCCAGCGTGAACCTCGGTAAGCGAGGCAGCGTCGAGTGCAAGAGCACGCGGAAGATTTGTGAAATGCCGCCGAGAAGAGCCTTCAGCCAGACCGACGAGCGACGACCGTCTACTCCGGTGCCGCCGATCGAGTTTAACGACGAGCGATACGTCCCCAAGAAACTGTCGTCGGAATCTCCGAAGAGAGACAGTACCAGGTACAAAGTATATCTGACGTAGGAAACGCCTGCGAGAGCGGGTGTTTTGCGAGACAAACGCCGCTTTCGCAGAGTTTTAGATTAAATTTTATCAACGATCAAGTATGGAAGTACAAGTACATGACTCTCGAAGATGAAAAAACAGCTGTATGACGAGAAGGATTTTCCAACAAGATTCGTAAATGTAAATACGTGTGTATTACAAAAAATTCCTTGCGCGGCGATATTCCAATGTCAATACCCCTATGTTGGGCGATGTCCATCATTTTTTCTCGTATGAGGGCGAGAAAAGATTAAAAAGTTAGAATATTTACGAAGGTGAATATAAATATAAGCAATTTTATCTCGAAGGATACAATGGAGCCCGTTGTCTGTGGATAACTGTTAAACGTTCAACTGTCGTTTACTGTGTTCACCGTATAATAATACGATATGTAAACGGATATATATGTACGAAACTCGATATATTCTGTTACGAAGCTCTACAATAATATAGCACTTATGACCGGAGACGCGGAAGCCTGATAAAAATGTATTTGTTACAAATTTACAACGGTTTACTACGTAACCAGAAGTTTCCTATTCGTGTTTTTCATGTCACTGTTATAAGCGTAACTGCGATATAATAATTAATACAAACGGTGTAACGCAAAATACATAATAAAATATTCTTTGAGGAACACACGACGTTCCCACCCTTCCCCATCTTCTTGCCATCGTTCTTCTATAAATACAAGATGTCTCGAAATTATTCTTTTAATCAATTGTTTTTTCAGCAAATAATTTTTCTCTAACAAAAATGTATTTTATTAAATATCCGTTGAAGTTATAGTTTCCAATAATCAAAATATTTAAAAAGTTAGAAACATTTTATAGTTTAAAGTTCAACAGAACGGGACGACCATATTCAACAAGATGTAATATTTTTAGAGAAATATTCTTTTTATAACAAGATGGAATTTTTATTAAATCAATACAGAATTATGTATATATAACGTAAGAATGTTTAGTGCGCGAATTGAAAAGTATGTTTCAAATTTTACTAATTAAAGATAAGATTTTTTTATATGCATATTAATTCAAAAACCTCTTCATCTCAAGAAGTCATTTGATTTTATATCGTACTAATTATTGTCAAATACAGCAAGAAAAAAATATTTACACAATGTACGTATGCTTAAAGTAAATTGATCATTTCACCAATAGGTATCTCTCACCAATGCTTCATTTGCGATCCGCGCCACACAAATCACCACGATATCCTGAACTCGAGTCCTTGACAAAGGCGACTTTGACTCTTTTTCTGACCGGTATACTATGAGCAGGTGGCGGCGGTACTCGGCAATCCCTCGGAGCCTGCTCCTCCTCGTCTCGCTCGATCTTGAATCTCTTCTGAGCACAGTTTGATCCGCTTGACCCTATCCCGTTCGTAACTGGTGTGTGACTCGTCAAAGACGAGGAGGATCCATTAGATATTACGCTAGTGTTCGATGAGATCTGCGGTGACTTCGGGAAATTCGAGGATCGTCCGCTCGATGGAGAACGTATAAGATTTCCATTGTTGTTGCTGTTACAAATATTGCAGACATTATAACGTTATTAGATTATTGCAAGCAATAGTATATCATACATAAAATATTTATAATGAATAAATATGCTTTTTTACTCGTTTAAAAGATACAAAAAGTGATTCAATGATTTTCAAAGAGAGCTCAGAGAAATTTACAGCTTTATAAAATCAAAAATCTATCGATTTTTTTTTCTAATTTTTTATTTTTTATAAAGAACTAAACTAGCGTGGCACGTAATTCACCTGTGAAAGTTGCCTTGGGTAACGATGACGGAAGGCGTGACACATCGTTTTCCGGTGGGAATAGTTACGTTAAGCCCGTTCGGTGCGATCATCAACAAATTGCTGCCGTTCTTGTCGCACGCGTTATGCCTCTGCGCGGAATAATTGATGCGGAAGACGTGAGAATTTTCTGACATATTTTGCTTCTCTTGTTTCAGGAAGGCTATGGCAGGCTTCGCATGATACGCGATGGGGTTTTGGTTGTTCAGATGCGACTCACATTTGATACGCACGTCGTGATGCTGCATCCCATTACGATCTTGACCTTTTTGCCACTCGAGAACATTGCTTAACAATCTTATGTATCTACCAAACAAGATGTGTAATCATTTCAAGTTCGAATATCAGGTAATCAAAATTTTCCCTTTAATACCTCTTATTCTTATTATAAAATTTTAAAATGTATTGTGCAAAATGTCTATATATTATATACTATACATTTCTGTTATATTTTCTATTAATATTCGAGAATATATATATATATTCACGCGTAAATCGTTGTATTTTTTAATTGCCTTTAAAACAATGGAAAAGCTTTTTTTTTTATTTCTCGAAGTTGTTCAAAAAATATGAATGACAATGTATGGATATTAATATTTGTTTATATTTGAAATAAAAATATTCATTTCTATAGCTAAAAGTTACCTGATCGCCATCCTTAATATCTCATTCTTCGACAGTTTCTTGTCTGGCGGATGCGTCGGCACCAATTTGCGAAGCTCGGCGAAGGCGCCGCTCACATTTTGCTGTCTCCATCGTTCACGACTGTTGGTGAAAAATTTTCTAACTCCTAAGTTACCTACACGAGGTGTAGGCGATCCTAAATGACCACTTCCGGAAGACGAAATGCCATCTAGCTACAAGATTATTAATGAATTTCATTAAACTACCACTAATCCAACAACTGTTATTTCGATATTCCAAATTTGGGGAGATCACAGCAAAATTTATTATATTTTACGTAATATAGAAATTTCGAGATTTGGCAGGAATAGGATTTCATCTCGCTTACGGAACTAGAACGATCCCGGCGTCTTTTGCTTTGATCTTCCTCGTCGTCGGTGTCGTGGGAATAGAACTCATCGGAGAGTGTCGCCTCCTCTTCAGTGTCCCTCGATGTACCCGGAGAATCACCGGCCTCTTCCGGAAGCTCTCCCTCGCCTGACAATAACGATCCCGCTGGGGAACCATTTTCGGCGTCCGCGACTCCTATCCCGCAGCCACTGTACGTTAACATAGGCTGCAAGGATTAATAAATATAGTGAACAAACACGACGAAATGCCAATCATATAATCTTATAGAGATTATTATTTTATGTGTCCACAGCTTCAAAATTTATTATAGTTATATATTAATTTTATATTATATTTAATATATATTTAATATTAATTTTATATTATATTTAATATATATTTAATATTAATTTAATATTATATTTAATATTCTATAAGCTTACTTTGAAAACTAATCTATTTTTTTTACTGAGTAAAGATAATTATTATTAAGAAAATCTCCACAATAACAAGTGTAAGGGCAAAGCGAGACGGATTAAGAAAATGTAAACAGATATTAGGCGAGTGAAGGACATGACTAAGCAGTCAATCAGTCCCGAGACTTTCGCCGCGACGAGATAAGTAAATTTATCAATAATAAACACGCATTTGAAAGTTAAAGGCCTTTTCTGATTCCCATCGAATTCCGTGTTATACAAGAATAATACTTAAAACAAGCTTGTTAAATGGATGTCGTCGACAATCTCGGATATAATTAGTCTATAGCGCCAACAGGAAGTTGATATCGCTCTTTTTAACTGTCCCTGACATTCAACAGATATGTGTGCCATTCGATTTATCTTTATGAATTAGTCATATATGCACTTGCTGTTCACATATCAATTTTTGTAAAGAAGGAAGCATTTCCGTTTGTATGTCTCTCTCTGCGCATTTTCGGTAATAATTTTATATACTAGCAGAGAGTTTTTTTTATTTCAAATTATTTTTTATCAAGACATCTTTCTGCGATGTCGATGATTGATTCCCTGTCAGTGCAAAAAGTTCGTAAATTTAGAAGAGATGCTATTTGTCATTTCGTGAATTGTATTTTTGTCAATTAAGAATGTCGATAGATTGTGCGATGACAATACAATTAAAAAAGAATGCTATATTATTCGTCTTATGTTCGTGACGAGTAGCACGATATACAGATGCACGCCCATTTTTTTATAATTCCAGATTTTTGAAAAATGGTTAATAAAATATATTATATAATAATAATTACGGCTCAACAAAAAAAAATTTTGTATTATGATTATTGTATCAATTAAACACAGTATTTTCTAAACTGTCTACGATAAACAATCGTGACATTATTCCAGCACTGCTTGAGATCCATATAAGGGTTGTAGAAAAGAAAAGGTTTGTAGAACACAGGATTTCAAGCGATCACAGATAATCACACACGAAACAATTAATACTCACCATGTTGCACGCAAAAAAATGCCAATAGTACCGCAAAATTAAATGACACAGATCGACTTGGAGAACGAGATCTCTAGCTCACATCGCGATCGTGATGGAGAGTAACACCGATGTCGAAAGGGACGATTTGACTAGCAACGAGTCCAGGCTAACCCTCCGGGTAAATGAATTTCACGAGGGCGGAGCGCAGGCTTATGGGTGGAGCTCGTATCAGGTCCGTCCCATCCGTGCTCCATCCAGCATCCCTGTATCGACGTTCTCCACGCGGATCATATCTTCATATATCCGGTGAAAACGCAAAATCCATACTTCATTCGTCCATCGATTCCCGATCTGCGTGATATTCTTGTTTGAAAGATCTTACGATACAGACATCGCAGCAAGTGATAAGAAATGTCACTTTCGCTTTTCACATTTTTGAGTAATTTATGATGCCGATTGTTTATTAAAAAATTAACGCTGCTTTTTAATTTTTATTATTTTTCTATGTTAATTTTGAAAAATTCTGATACTAATAAAATAGTAATAAAAAAAGTGCATCTTAATTTTTTAGTTTCATGTTTAGTATAAACCATCGGCATTTAAGAGATTGTCAAGCAAAAAAGTTTGGAAAACTTAGAGAAAGAATATTCTAAGTCTACAAAATTTATTTTACTTTACAAGAAATATTTGTATTTATAATGAATTAATTGGCGATGTAGAAAAAGTTACCCGCCATACGATCAGACACGTGTTTGGCAATCGAGGGTAACGCACGTGTCCTTTATATCCTCCTTTATATTGCCTTTTATTCTGAGATTAAGGTGCCAAATTTATCGTATCTGAAAGGGTCAGCATTAAATAATTTAGATTTAAAATAATCTAATAAAATTATCGTACATATAATATTCCTTCCTACACTCCTTAAATAATTTATTGTATATAATAACATCCACATATTTTTATTATGCGTTGAAATTTTTTATGTATTGTGTGTGTTCTAGCGTTTTTTATTAATATTTTCAAATTTAGTTAGAAACATTAGTTGCAAGTTCTACACATTTGTGGAGTAGCAAAAACAATACTATTACTAAATTGCACAAATTTGCGTATTTCATCTCTTGATAGACGTGGAATAATAGAGACAGCTGCAAGATGTTGTTCGTTATCTTTCAACGCACGTGTATCTATGTATGCAAAAAGAACGAATCTGTCTCCACCCTCTTCCTGCTTCGGCTCATTGCCATGTGTTTCGAAGATGCTTTCTGCATCGCATAAAGAATGATGCGTGTCAAGTCTCGCGGTCTATCTTATCGCTCTTGTCGTCCAACTATTGTCGTCGCGGGCAGAGCTACTTTTTGTCGCGATAAGCCGATGAGTAACTTTTAGGAAAACGATAAGCATGTTTTGTCGACAAATGTGTCGACGATATCGCTTCAAATTATTCAATTTTTCTCTCTTTCTCTCTCTCTCTCTCTCTCTCTTTCCTTCTTAATTTTTATTCTTTTTTATGATTATATATAATATCATCCTTCGTGTATTTGATTCTTGAGACATTTAATAATTCTATCATGATTGTCAATTATCATTTTTAAATAATGCCATGAACATAGTACAACGAAAATATATCACAATTTATAAATACTAATAGTTGCTCATCTTATCGATTTCCTTCAAGTTATTTTTTAGAATACAATTTTCTGATTTCTTTACAGTCAAAAATATTTAAGACGCTAGAACATAACAATCAAAAAAAATTTGCAATTTAAGAATCTAAAATTTATAAATTTTCTATTGATTTTCTACAAATAATTGTCGCATATTGCACTTATTTAAGATCAGGTCCCACGCAGATTGGCTCGTAATGGCGCTCGAATGAGCATCAAGAATGATACGATCATCTAATCGGACTTCAACGATGACACCCCGGCGCATCCTGGTGGAAAATCTGTAGCACCCTCCCGAGGTGTCACAATAAAACAAGCCGGTGGCCACTTGACGACAGGGGGTAGCCGCTCTCTCACCCTTAATGTATACTAAGCAGGGCTCACGTTTTTTATGCTCCTCGAATCACGGAGATCCGGCTAATCGAAAGTTGATTGTTTGGGAAAAGTTTTTCACGAATGCATCATCTATCATTTCTTTCAAATATTAGTTTTTTTCTCGTATTTAATATGAATAATTAATTGTCAAATAATTAATTGTATGTATTTTTTTCAGAAATTGTTTAACTCATTTCTTATCGTAATTGTTGTTATATATAGTAGAAATTGTGCAATATGAATATACACAAACGCAATAATATTCTGTCTTATTTTATCGAAAAAATTTTGTCTCTGAAATTGTCTTGTTCGAAGTTAATTAATTGTCACTCCTTCGTTCGAGATCTCTTGTTAACACATTTTTTATTATATATTATTTATTATATTTTATTATATATTTTGCTAGAATCAATTTAATTGCAATATTATTTTATTTTTATGTAATATATATTATGAAATATTATTTTTTATAGGTGATATCATTTCGGATATTTCGAAAACTTGAAAAATAGCCATTTCCATTACGAGAATCGATAGAAAGGCACCCCCGAGTACCCCCGTCGAATTTAATAGGGGATATTTTGTAGCGGTTTCCCACAGGCTTGGCAACTCGCGACCCAATTTGCGCGTGTCAATGAATAAGGATAAGGTATTAATATTACCACCACCGCACGCGGGATTGACTCACGTGACTCTTATCGCGGTCTTTGGTTCAGTGTATTTTTAGATAAAAATCCGAAGAATCATTAATATCGATGCACACATACAACACGAGATTGGATGATTTATATTCATAATAAATTTATTACAAACTTATATATAGATGTCAAATTTAATGCATCGCGAATCAAAAGCTGCAACAATTATGAATATCTCGCAAATTCAGTGCGTTTTTATTTACTATATGCCCGGAGCAGCAAGTCATCGACGTAAGGAATTCGTAAAAGAAAAAGAAACGCAAAGATTAATTACAAAACGATGTAGCGTAACTGTTAATTAAGCGTCGGGATAATCCTTCCCATTTTACGGCATCTTAAAAATTAATCTTCCGTCGATTTGTCCGCTTAATCCCCAAGATTAATACCTCACGCCGTTACTGGGTCCTCCAACAACTTGACCCTTGCGATTCCACGACCGTGAGGATGACGCGGGAGGGTGACTGTCGCGAGAGGGCTGTAGGGCGGGGCATCCCTTATCAGCGGCGAACACTCGCGCAGCCTCCGTTTCCTGGTTTCAATAGCGTCCTACTCGAAATCTCAGCGGCACTTTCACTTGTGTATGAGTGTCGCCGTGTTAGATAGCTATCTTGGAACATTGTTTTCTTGTTGCAATAGCTAAATATTAGATTAAGTATTATAAATATCAATAATGAAACGATGACGATAATTACGAGATTTTTGGAAAATACAATTTCTTTCTATAATATTTCTTTAAATATGTACTATGCTTTTACAATTACTAGGCATTTTTATCTTCTATTTTTTAGCTTCTATTCGACGGACGCAATTGATTTTTGCTAACGGATTTAAATCACTCCTTGAATGGGTTAAACCAGTGTTCTACCGGGCACGTGTGGGTACGGAGGGGTCTCTCGCCGGAGTATGTCGATGGGAGAGAGAGAGGCGTGTCACTGGTTTTGCGCAGCGTCCCATGAACATCAACGCGCTCGAATAGAGCATCCCCGTGCCGCGAAAAGGGACGCGGAGGGTGAAATCAATTTTCGTTATCGCCGTCAACCAGCCGCCCCACGCTAAATCCCGTTATTAGTGTTTGTTTTCCACGTATGGCATTCGCGCCCGTTGACATATCGATCATTGAAATGAGCTCGTACAAGACATTTAAAACGAACATTAATTGTGTTGCGTGTCGTGCGAATTACGCAACGTTAACTTACCGTCAATTATCTCTGTAAATTAGAATCAAATCAAAATAATATAAAAAATTATTTTACGATATTAATGTAAAACGTATAAAATGGATAATTTGTAACAATATTTGATACAATACATTTCGTCTGCTCTTTCTCTCTCCCTTTTCCAAAAAAAAAAAGTGTAAGATCCTCCAATAATCACGTGAATAAATAACATAAATTGAATAAATGATGATGGCATATATACTCGACAATAATATCGGCGAATAATTTTATTATTTTATGATGCAGCCTAATTATTTTTGTGCATATATGTTTATTATTATTATTATTTGTTATAATATATATATTATATGTTATTATCGCTTATCAATTTTTGGATATACAGAATATTTATAAATTTGAGTTATTGCTAATGTTCGCTAGTAAATTGAACACTTGAATATAATCGTTCAATGAATCGTTTTATTTGCGCATACATAATTCAACAATCAATTATATTGTCCAGTATTACATTTCGACAATTAATTGTATCGTCCATTAAATTTAATGATAATAATTTCCAGGTCTCGAAGGTATTATATGTCGCGTATCGCATACTCGCGATATCTCACTCAACATATCACGATCTTGTATTGCTCGAAGCGCGTGCGAATACGAATCACAACTAATCTAGAGTATTTACAATACGTCAAAGTAGCCAGATTGTACGAAATATAATCTCGGCACCAGTCTTATATCATATCAATCTTTCAGAATGGCTTTAAAATATAAAAATATAACTTTTAAATATACATTTCGTAATTACATAAAGTACGTAATCTCCTAAATCTCAATATTGCGATCGACTGCGATCTATGTTAAGATGCAGCTTCGTCGATTATTAAGTCAATTAAGTTGCAAAATCAACGAATATCTTTTCGACCACATTTTTTTTTAGCAAATTTATAAATTATTTTGTACATAGAGATTTCAATAATTCTATGATTATGTAAAATACTATACAATTAAAGATGTGCGAATATTCGCAAAATGCGAATTAAGTCATATTTCATCGAATTTTCTCGTTAGTTTCAAAACAGATTCTCAAAATACTCGTAAATTCAGATATTGCTCTCGGGTACACAAAATTAGATATTGAAAACTTAATTATTCCTTAATTATATGGAAAAATAGAAACTTATTTTGTTGGTGGAAATACTTAAACAACTCTGAATTATTGAATATATATTCTTATTTATATTAAATAAATTTGATTCAAGTAGATTCAAATATTAAGAATGGCAAAAACTATCAAAAAAACTCTCATCTTTAAAAATTATAGTCTAAATACTATATATAAATATTATATAATAATATTATGTATAGTAAATGTTATATATATAGTAATATATATAATAAAAATATATATAATATATATAAATACTATATATAGTAAATGCTATATGTATAACAATATTATATAGTAAAAATTAAACGAAATCTGCATATGATTCTGCATAAAAGAGCATTATTACAACACATTCTCTTCATCCAAAAAACTTTGCAATTGTTATGAATTTAGGTTTTCAGTTATGTTAATTTTGCAACAGATTTAAATAGAAAATGAATTAAGAGACTAAATTATGATACGCTATCCATTCAAATTAGGTAAGGATTTTAAATATTTACTTAATATAAATGAATAAAATTATTAAAACTATAGCATTTTTATGAGGGCAGATTTATCAATAGAACATATGTACATATGTATATTTCGATATTAAAGATACTGATCCTTTGATATTTAAAAAATAAAAAGAAAACAAATTTTCTGAAAATTTAAAAATTTAAATAATGTGTCAATTTCAAATATTTACCCCTTGTCTTTTTGAGACTTACTTTTCTTTAAATTACTTTAATTACAAGTAAAAGTATCGTCCGTAGTAAGTATTTTCTGATTACTGATTTAATAATGTGTAATAAAGTATCGAACTGTTATTATAATAATCCTTTCTTTTTCAGATATGGATCTGATATGATATTGTTAATTGACATCGTCAATCATATCGATATAAAGATAAATATTGAAAAATACTGTTGCCAACGCAATTTTCTAGTGAAAAGCAAAACCAAGGATCAGAAAAGGTACTATAATAATACAAATGGTGTAAATTGTCATTCGTGGCTCACACGTAGACACACCAACATACTCCTCGTTCCATTGCGAATCATTGTTACTTAATGGCAATTCTAATACCGTTCTTTCTTTGCTGAAGATTTTAAACGGTAACGAGCACTCCTCCGTGCTATTTTTGCATGCGTACACGGGATTTGAGGTATTGTAGACCGTCTTCAAAAGATCAAATTTTACTCTCACGTAATTAGATTGGACCTCATTCTCCGAATTAAATACAAAGAAGTAATATCCGTTTAAAGGTATTCTACAAATAAATTATATACAAATATAGTAGAGGATTATTATTATGGCAATATTGTTATTAAGATATGTCTCTCTCTCTCTCTCTCTCTTTTTATGTGGAAATTAAAACTTTAATATAAAACAATTACGCGTATCTCTCTAGATTTTGAAAAAAGTATATTTATTATAAAAGAAAAGCTATACGCGTTTAAAGCCGATAACTAAGTAAAATAAAAGAAAATATATAACAATCAAATATGAACACATCTTTACAAAGAAAAAATTAATTACAAGCAGCAATTTTTGTTCACCTACCTGTATGTCACAGTATTAGCAAAGGAAGCCGCAGAATGATGACTTTCGTGTTTAGGTGTACAATAACGATGCGGTGTCAGAGGTAAATTCATGATGAGACCCTTGCATTCCAGCAACCGCTCCTCCGAACTGCTAAACGAGCTCCAGAACTCGGAATTACTTCTGTCGTTCAAGGTTGTTTCGTTCACGACGCCTCGGACCTCCGCAATACCGTCTGGGTTCAATGTATCCTGATGAAGATACGCCAACAAATTTACTTTGTATATCTTTACCTGAATTTACGGAGTGGAAATCTAAACTCTAAATGAAAGATATGAACGAGAATTATATTCACACTTTGCAAACAAATATTGCTTTACACATATTTATTATACGATTGTTTCTGCGCCGAGAAAAGAAATCTCAAAAATATACAGCAGAAAGATCTAGATTACGTAGTAGTAATTACGCGATTTATTCATCTCTAATTTCATCTTGTACAAATATAAAGTCCGGAATATATTTTTCCACTCATTTCAATAAGTAACAAATTAAAATCTATTATCACGTTTTAATGAAAAACGATATGTTATCAGTGAAGGAAATAATATTATTTTGCGTGTGTGCTAACTAAATAAGAGAGTTGCGCGTTATTTTTCCGAACGACAAATTCTCTTTGAGATCAATTTATATTATCGACATTTTCGAGTAAACAAGTAGAAACTTATTACGATTTGTATTATTGTGTGTGGTCCTTTACAGTTAACAAATTATTTTTAACGATGAGAATATAAATACATGTTACAGGTTCTATGGTAATTATAAAGATTAATTTATTACATTAACAGGCACAAGGAATACATTAGAAAAAATAAAAAAAACAATACCAATACCTCTTCTAGCGCTACGTCACCGTCTTCATCCTCCTCCGTTAAAATTTGATGCATTGGCGAAGAAAGAACAAAGTCTCTTCTCTTCCTCCGCTTGGCTTCGTTCGACAATTTTTTGTCATTCATCGTTTCATTTACCAACTGTTTCAACGCAGCACCTTCGAAATTGCTCCGTGCATCAATCTCGTCCATCAATTTACGCAACATTTGTCTGCCACGGTCGCCTAAGGAATTGATCTTTCGCAGGACGTCTTGGAACACCTCCGCAGAGTTCGTCTCGTTTCGTTTGGGTTTTGACTCTTCTTGCTTTTTCGCAATTTCTTCTGCCGTTCCGGTCTTCACTTGTGTTTTGGATATCGTAGGACGAGGATCGAAAAAAGACGTGGAATTCCGATTGATTTCAAGTTCTTTTACAGAGGTAAACGTCATATTTGAAGATAATTGTGTAGATCTAATAAAACGTTTGAATATATAATTCGTAATTATAAAGAGAAAAGTTGGAGAAGATTTTGTATTGTGACTAGAAACATATATGAAATTTTTTTTAGAATTTACAAACTCAATTCTTGTTAAAATAATGTCTTTCAATTTTTTTAATGGAAAGAATGGATCAAAATTAAAATATTAAATTATTGAGAAAAATAACGCACTTTGTACTATTTTCCGATATCTCTTTATTACTGCGAGATCTGTTTATCGACTGTTTCCGCAGAGGCTGATCTCCGAAAGATGAATTTCTAGGATGATTTACGGTCGGTGGCTTATCGATATTAGTGTCCTCCCTGAAAACAGCCTCATAATGATGATGCGGATTCTCTTTCTGCTTCTTCTTCGTGTCGGTAGTCTTAGCCAAAAGCTGAGTGAGTATATTCCGCATCGCCTGAGCGTCCAGCTCGTGACTGCCCAGTTGATTCTCGGATGATTTGGAAATGTTTAAGCGCAGGGCGTTGCCTTTATGATGAAACTGTACATCCTGTCTAACTCGTCCCATTTTTTCAGGTATATTAAGACGCGTCGCCTGACAATCGAAGATGCAACGATTGAAAAATAGCGCATATAAAGAGTGTGTTTTACAGATAATTGATAATTAAAATTAAAATTGAAGCTCGATAGAAAGAAAAACACACCTCCGTAGTCCTCGTCAAATCAAGAAGCCCCTGTTCCTTAGCAACCTCAAGGAGCTCCTCAAGTTCCTCGCTGCTGTCATCTCCGATGAAGGCACACTCGTGCAGATTCTTAAATCCACGGATTATCGTTAAAGAGGCACCTGGCCATCTGCAAATAATGGTACAATTATAATAAATTAATAACGTAAGTACTTGAAAGATAATATTATTTTAAATGTGTCGAAAATTTTAATTAAAGGAAACGTATTTTTTATATAAAAAAGATCGCAAAATTTTCTCCGCTTCCACTATTAAAATTTGCGTAATAACGCGCGAGCCCTCATTTCTACAATTCTACCTTACACAAGTCGAAACAGTGACGCTGCTGCCACGCAGAAGATAAAATCCCCAGTACTCCTTCATGTCATCTTCCATGACAAGATGTCTCGTCATCGAAACTGGTACTGCTTCCTTTTCGATTACTGGTTCGTTGCTCATCAGATACGCATTAAATGTGGCATTAACTTTGACCACCTGACTCTATAAACAGATTGCTCTATCATTGACACATCTTTATTCTTTATTAGTTTTTTAAGCGCAAATACAATTTTTAATAAAATTGCATGCGGTATAAATAATTATTTGGCCATTAAATATTCCAAATTCATTATATTTTAATTTGTTATAATAATTATTATATATTTATTTCCTGAAGGAAGGAAGTAAAAGTTGACACATAAAATTTTTAGGAGTATAAGGCAGAGATCATTGGAGATAAAATATTAATAAATATTATATCAAAATGGCTTACTTGGCACCAAATAGTGGATATTTTGGCGTCGATCAGTCTTTGATCTGATATCGTTAAAGCGTATAATTGTTCGGAATACACGCGGTATCGCAGATATAGCGGTCCAGCAATAAGGACAGACGGTAGAAACATCCCCAGCACACATAATCGCATCACTCTCAAAGGCACTTTATAATTTGATCTTCGCGGTTGCCAATCTCGTGGACGGATACCGTCTTCTGCAAAAAAGTCGTCAACACAAAAAGTATGAATATTTTAATCCCATGAATCTAAACAAGATTCATTATTTGAATTCCATTTCTTCGATAAATAATTTTGTTTATATTCCTTAAAAATTCTTTTAATATAACTTGTAAAAAGATAATTGATTCTCTTTTTTTCTATTTGTTGCTTCATTTAGCGTATATGTCAGATTTAATTAATACCGACTTGCCGACTCTGTTTAAGTTTAGTTTTTCTCCAAATTGTTCAATAAATTAAAAATTTGATATGGATGACTATAATAATATCATAAAAATTATTTTTCTTTTTTCCCACAGATAATTCTATGAGTGAATATAACGTCAAAAATATAAAAATATTTATGACCTTATTATTACACTTGCAGTGTTCTTCATGTTAAATCGGTAATTATCAACGATCAATATCGAGACTCATAATCACAAATAGACACTCAATTAAGCGTATCGATTCCCTTGATGCGGAATGTAGCACATGTATAGGAGATATAGTTCTTTATCATTTATTATCTCCAACAACAGACCGTAAGAGATACGCCTCCGCTTACATGTGTGCATATGTTTACGCGTACGTAGACAAAAAACAATGGAAAATTCCTTGAATCCTCTACAATCCTGTTAAAGCGCAAAAGTAAAGTGCTTTATTTGATGGCATTGTTTATTACATTGACACGTAGATTTTCGAGTTTGATCGTACGACACTAAAACAGCATGTGTAATAAAGCCCATCAGCGCTTCAATAATCACGTTTGATAACATATGACACAAATTCATTTTTTCCTACTTATCTTATAAAATCGTATTAAGATATATTTTTAAAATGTATATGGGTTTGTACTAGATTTTAGGGGCTTTCCTTGTGTTTCCCAAAATGACGATAATAATTTATTTCTCTATATTTCGAGAGACGAATAACACTCGTGTCGATTACAAGCGTTTTTATTTTGCCTTGCCAAAGCACAGTTACATAAATTTCACCGTGCGTTGCACAAATTGTTTGCCGCATTCCATAATATTTGTTAAATTCTTTAAAAATTTGAGGATCACTGCAATGGAGAAAGATGTGAAAAGAACGCAGATTATGCGCAGACGATTTCGTAAACTCGTGGGAAAATGTTCTCGCTAGATTTAGAGATCAAGGTCATCAATTTCACCTTTGCACAAGACTACACACACGCATAGACAGACATACACATTTGTATGCGTGTATATGCGATTCAATCTATATGGAATGATGCTCTCTAAGATAAATTATCACGCATCACATTGATAAGTTTTCTTCTTTTTTTCAGCTATGAAGCGCGTGGTATTGGATAGAATATGTTTTTACCTCGATGAGAGAGAGAGAGACGCTTGTGCAAACAAAGCATCATGAAAATTCAATACAGTTTACGATGAAAAATACCCATCTCATCATCGAGAATTATGCAATTTTTGGTAAGTAGATCATTTAATTTAATCGATCGAGACGCACACGATCACATTTCATACTGATTCATTAATAGCAAATAATTCATTTATTATTAGAATTTTATATGTATATCATAAGTAAAGTTAATTTTAATAAAATAGATCATCTTTTCTCTTTTAAAGTTTTCTATTATAGTAAACTTATGGTTATAAATGTTTAAAAAAATTATACGAAAATTTCTTTAGAAGTATATTCGCTTCGCTATCTCCGCTTTATCTCAAAATAGACTGATATAAGAGAAAAAACACACTTGTTCGTATATCGCATTATGTTTTGTTTATAAAAAGAGATTCATTCGCACATGTAGAAAGAAAGAGAGAGAAAGAGAGAGAGAGAGAAATGTACACGTGCCACTAAAATTGCAATGGTCAACCAACAGAGAGAAAGATAAGAGACAGGAACTTAAAAAATAAAACCAATCTGTCTCGCAAAGACGACATATGCCATGGTATCATTACAATTAATAAATCATCTACAATATCTACATAAAAGAAGAATGCGCGATTGGGTGGAGTGAATGTACCGCCACTCTTTTTGAAGACAGTGTTTTCTTTTATTGCTGCACAATGCGACTGACAATCACATTAAACGTTTATTGTAAAAGTTCATACCTATATCATTGAAGAAAGGCTACGAAAAATACACTCTCTCACAAATTATATAGAATATTTCTTTCATATTTTTTCCGTTTGTTTATATTTTTTAATGGAAATATAGAAATCTGTTGATTGGCTGGATTGTAAACGAATGAAGCATGCCTTTCATGAGTTCTCTATAAAAAGAATATCACCGTAATGCAATTTCTATAAGATGCATGTAAAAAAAATATTATTATTGATTGAAATGCATCGGAAAGTAAACAACGCGCCGCGTTACATTTTTATATGCGCAGTGACAATTGTTAATGCTCTCCGCATAGTTTCCATGATGCATTATCATTCGGCCAAGCTGATAACGAGAACGTTATTAAAACATCTCGACGCGAAACAATGATAAATCATTAAGATTCTACCAAGAGAAGATTCTTACCAAGTATATCTATTTTCAAAGGCGTCGTGGACATCTTCCTCGGAAGATTGCGGCATAGATGCTCGCTCAAAATTCGAGATACAGAACCTCGTCCTTCCTTCTCTCAAAGTTAGACGCGCACACTTTAACTGCAAATAGATAAAACTTTTTCAAAGAAGTCGCACACACTATGTCGCACGCCCGATATTTACTCTTCGCGGTCAATTATGTTACATAATATCACTCGGCAATTTTAATTATCGCTTTGTTCACACTTTTCATATCACACCAAAAACACACTACATTAATGTACGTAGCGTAAACTCCAATTTTGGAGTTTTGACGATATTGTTTTTTCGTTCGCACATTAATTTACGCTCCGGGATAAGAAGGAAATAACTTTAGAAGCGCATAATTTTTTACGAGACTTGTTTATCGTTAAAAAACGCCGCGCTGTTATCTCTCATTCGATAGAAATTAAATAAAACGCGTGATGCGTATCGGTCGCTGTCGACAGATCGACTGAATCTACGAACGAACATACGATGTTTTGTATCAACGCCTTATCGCGCTTTAATGCAAGCGAATTAAAGAAGACTCTCGATCAGCGGCCTATCTACACAGAATTTGCTGCATATAATGCTCTTATATTATGCTTATTTTGCTCATAATGACGCGTATTTGCCAAGTAACATGACTGTTTTATAAAACATATTTCGGAGTCTTAATTACACACAGCGATTTCCGCTTCGCTTTTTCTCTCCAGTACACTCAGTAGACACATTGAATTATGTAATTACATTGAATGAGTAACTTGAATAAATAATGAGAATCTCACCAACATCAAAGAAGTTGCATGTGAAAAAATTGTCAAAGTGCATTTAGACGATAAGATTATTTAATTGCAGCTAAATTATTCCATTAACATTGAAAATACTATCTTGCCACATTCCTAATAAATTCAAGATCAATAGAAATCTTATCAATAAAAAATATATTTTACAGAAGTAAAATTTATACATAGATTTTATATACATCTATTTTTTTGTAAGTACTAATCATTTAAATACGTAAATCAATTATAATGTTATAAAAATTACAGATCACTTATGACGAGAATGACTACTGTTGCCTTTGTCGTCTTTAGATTTAGAGGACTTCTCTCCCCTTCGCCGTTTATTCAAAGGATTTCGAGGATCATAAATCTCGAACCAATCGTCATTTTTCGTGCTGGCATCCTTGGCAAGCACTGGTACCTTCTCTTCGCAACGCAGAGCGTGTGCCATCCAGGATTCGTCATGCGGATCATCGTCTTCGATATTGTTCGATATCTTCTTGTCAGAATCCGAGACATTATCCTTGGCGTTTTGAAGTTTATTTTTGAACTTCTTTAACAGTTCTATTGTAAAATCCTCGCGCGTTTTGCCCTTCTTAGGCAATTTTGTCTTTGCTTCTTTATATTTTTCCTGAGTTTCTATGTACTCTTTCATTATTTCAGATTTACTTTCCTTCTTTTCAGATTGAAGCTTTTCGTCTGCCTCCTTTGCCTTCTTCTCATTTTTCACGCTTCGCTTTAGATCGCGTATTTCTTTTTTTATTGCTTCGCTACAATTTCAAAAAATATAAAATATAATTGTTTTGTATAATTGTGTTCTAAAGATATATAAATTTTCTCTATTTTAGATAAATTCGAAATCTGTATAAAGAAACGTTACATACGCCTTTTTCTTTCGCTCCTCGTCTCTATCTTTTCCCAAATAATATTCTTCGATTTCTGCATCTTCATTTAACTCTTCAGCTTTCACTTCATCATTCTCAATTTCCAGTTTTAACTCGGAAGTCTTCTTAGAATCCTTCAGTTTATTTTTTATCCTTTCTTTTACCGCTCTGTTATTTAACATTTAATATTATGAAAACTATTTAAAAACTTATATGTAATGATTTTCTATAAATAACTCACTCTTTTTCCTTTGCAAGAGCAGCCAATTCTTCTGGATCGCGTGTTTCATCATCATTCTCCCAATCGCTGCTCCGATCCTCTTTGAGTTTTTTACTTGGTGGTCCAGCTGGTTCAACCACAGGTTGCGAGCTTAACTTTGGATCGGATAAGCAATCGTGTGCTGATTTTCCTTTGCCACTATATTGTTTATTTAAAATTGATGACTCCTCTTCATCTTCTTCAGCCTCTTCTCCAAATGACAATAACTTGAAATTCCTAACATATTTGTTTAATGTATATAAAAAAAAAGATATATGTTTATCATTTCAAGCAATTTTATATTTCTTACTTAACACCAGTCTTTTTATCTTTCTTGCTTTCCTTGTTGTCTTGTTTGCTTTCAGGTACTACTCTTGGAATAATATCTGAGAATGGATTACTTAGCACTTGCGTTATTAAAATCTTTTGTGGATACTGAGGCCTATCATTCTGAAATATAAATTAAATATTACATAAAAGAGTTCACGCATTATGTTTATAAAAAATTATACATTAATCTTTTTATATACAAATGTTAAACATTTACTTCGTCTACAAGTGCATCTTCCAATTTGAGCATATTGTAAATAGTTTCGCCAGTAACTTTGCCAAAGATAGTATGCTTATTTTGTAACTCGGGTGTTGAGCCCAAGGTAAAGAAAAATTGGGAACCATTATCATCTTTACCAGCATTGGCCATAGCAACTAAACCTCTCCGACAGAAACGTAATCTTGTGTGAAACTCATCCTATAAATATACAATATAAAAAGATATATAACTAGATTTTTATAGAGTTTTATAGATTTTAAGATTACACAAAAACAATAAGCATAGTCAGTTGAAATTATCAATAATTAGCACCTTAAAAGGTTGTCCATATATACTCTCACCGCCTTCTCCTGTTCCTGTTGGATCTCCACCTTGTGCTACGAAGCCTTTTATGACTCTGTGAAATATTGTGTTGTTGTAATAGCCCTCCATGCAAAGCTGTATAAAATTTCTGCAAGCCTTAGGAGTCTCCTTTGTCCATAATTCTAGGTCTATATCGCCAACCGTTGTCTTCATCAATACCTATTAGAAAATAGAAAAAGATAGGCAGTATAGGAAAGTAAATTGAAAATGAAAAAGCAATAAAATCGCTTTATTTACTTCATATCTTTAATATAGTAATAATATTTTAAAAATTCTAGAGAGAAGAGGAGTTATACTATATTCTCTTATTTTATAAATAATTTCTTTATTAGAAATTTTACGAAAAGTTTTATAATTTATTAAAAAAGAAACTTGTGCAATTTTCGCTTAAATATAAAATAATTTATACTTACTTTGCCTGTCGTAGGCGGTTCTTGTATATAAATATTACTCATGTTTATAACCTCTCTCACTTCTCGTCAACGTACATCAGTGAACTCATCACTGATCACAGATGAAAAAGAGAGAGAGAGAGATAAATAAACTGGTTCGGCGTCTTTCAACAGATGGCAGAGGTTCCCGATGTTTTTATCCCAATCAGCTGTTTATGATTAATTATATGTTGAGACACTCTTTTATAATAATTACAACTATTATTAATATTATTAATTATTATTATTAATACTTAATAATTATTAGAGTAGTTAGTAATTATTAATACTATTATTTTGATGATAGTATCATATATTTATACATAATCATAGTGTTGCTATGTAACATATATATTACGCTCTTTAGCATTTTTTTGCATAATGGAAATATACAGCAGCATATGCATCTGCATTTTACAATAATTAAATAATTTCAATTTCTTTTTATTCTAAAAATCCAAACTTCCATGAAAAAGTCTAGAACTTTGTTTTACACGTGTGTAACTGAAAATCGAATTCACTATATTGATAAAACGTTTGCGGTATCCAAGAAACTTAGTTCCGTGAGTCCGTTCTCGAATATAGAAGAAACTGATCAGTAATAATTTACACACACAACTGTGCTTTAGATATTTTTATTATTAATCTATAATCTCAGAAGTAAATTTAAACAATATTTTGTAAAAAATTGTAAAGTAATAGATTTAAAACATTTGTATGGCAAACAGTGAATCTAGTAGGATTGCTCGTGAGAGAAACATGGAATCTATCTCTGCAGTATCTAGCTACTCAAATTCAAATGTGAAACAAATCAGATTGGAAGATTATATAAAAGATATCTACATTTCTGAATTTTCTACAGAATGGGAAGGAAATATACTGAACTTGATACCTCGCAGAGATAGACGAATACATTCCTCTTTCATAAACTCGGTGTTAGACGAGGTAAAAAAAATGTACATCGATGATATGAAAGACTTCGTACTGAGGTCCATATTATCCTGCAAAATGTACAAGAGAAGACACGTTGTTTGCGAAGAGTGCGACGTTCCCGTTAGTTCGAAGCGAAGCATCACCGAAGAAAATACGATGTACGATCGGACGATATTTTTAAAACGCCGTAATCAGTTGGCCGAGAGATATTTCCTTTCATATTCGATAATCAGACATGTTATAAATACAGCGCATCGTATTCTGCCTACGGTAATTTGTGACTTCGAACGTTATCGCAAACTTGGAACGCTGACGTTGCATAGTTTTCGAAGCATGATCCTTAAGGACATTAAGAGAGGTACTTTAGTGATAGCTAATCAATTTTACACCGAAACATTTAAAGCCGTGCAAAGATCGAAGCAACTAAAGAGCATCTCCGCGAAACGTCTGCCTCGATTTATGCGGTGCCTCACTAATATATTTGTTCAGCAGATTCTCAATTTGATGATGAGATCGATCGATCATATAATAAGTATCATGAAAGACGGTCGGTTTTGTCCGCAAATTGAATTCCAGCTGGTATGCGAAGGCGATCGACTTGTGACTAAACCGGAGGTAGAAGAGGTATTTTCGACGTATCACGATACTGTCAGTGGCATCGCAACTATCGCGCAAGAATTGATGCCTCTGGAAGAATGGTTGGACATCAAAGCGAAGGAAAGGTACATAAAGATCGTGTCTCCCGACTGGTTCATCGAGAGATCGCATCGCAATCTGCAGGAGATATTGGATGCTCTGTTTCGACCTGTGAACGAGCACGTGGCGGTTATTTCTGCTGAATTCGGCGACGTGTGTACGTCGAGTATCGAGAGCCGGATAGCGTCTTTAACTTCCGAAAGACCGGATTTCGATGCGTATCTCGCGCATATATGCAAGTACAAGGAATATCTGAGTAAAACGAGTCTTATGCTCTCTAATTTGTATTATAGCGTAGGAAAGTTGGAGCAAAGTAGCGCCAAGAATACTCTGAGGCAGATCTGCCACGACGTTATAAACGCTCTCACGATGGAACTCGTCGAGTATCATCGAGATTTCAATCGTTCAATCTGTTCCAGCTTCGAGGATCTAAAGTCTACGGCGTTGGATATTCCGAGGGATGCAAATTCCTTGATACAATTGGCCGAATATATGTCGCGAGCTTCAAAAGTATTAATGAAAGAGCAAGAGCAAAAGATACGACAATCAATTTATATGCTGAGCAAATTGTTGGACATTACCGTATTGATGGACGAGCATGTTGACTTGAACAAGACCACCGTCAACTGGCTGTACGATATCCAGCCGGTATTCGCGCAGAACAATACGTTGTGCGAGGCGATGAAGAGTGAACTGGAAGAAGATCTTCAACGGCGAATAAACGCGTTGAATACGGAAGTTGATGCGATGTTCCCGCAGCTTGTTATCCTCGACGACATGGACGATATAAGCAGGATTGGAGAATACGTGGAGCATTACAAGGATCTGATAAAGAAGTACAAACGAATGGATAACGAAATGCAAGTTATTAATTCGGAGGAGAAACTTTTCAAGTTTCCTGAAACGGAATTTTCGAAAATAGCCGAATTAAGAGAGACGATCGTGCCGTTTTACACGCTGATACAAACTGTTTATCAATGGCAGAGAAACAACTCCGTGTGGCTGAACGGTCCGTTCGAATGCCTGGAGGCGGCCGTCATCGAGAAGAAGACCATGAATTACTTGGACGAGATCACGGAGATGAGCAAGACGATGAAGTCGCGCATCAAGATGGACGTGACGGCAAACAGGTCGTTCAAATTTTCCGGCATCGCCGACGATCCCGACCCGATGCAACAACCCGCGCCGCTAAAACTGTGCTGGCAGGCGCTCAATAACATTAACAAATTTAAGGTTTTTCTACCGCTCGCGATCTGTATGTGCAATCCTGCTCTTTGCGCCCGCCATTGGAAGGAGATGTCGGCGATATGTAATTTCGATCTCACACCGAACGCAGGAACGACTCTGAAAAAGATGATCGATATGAATCTGATGGATAATATCGACAAGTACGAGGCTATAAGCTTGGGCGCCTACAAAGAGCTTTGTCTTCAGCAAGAATTGGCCGAGATGATCGAAGAGTGGAAGCCGATATCCTTCGAGATGTCGACTGATGCGGCATCTGGTGCGGTAACTTTTAAACATATAGATGACATCGAAGCACTTCTTGGAGAACATCTCATTAAAGTTGAGGAGATGAAAGCATCTCATTTCATCAAGCCGATACTGTCGAATTTAATTGATTTCTTTGCTGTTCTCATAAGGATCCAAGAAACCCTTGATCAATGGGCGCGCGTACAATTCCGCAAACTCCGTCTACAGCTGATATTCTCTTATCCGGGAATGGAAACGCGTCTGAACCAAGAAACTTCATGGTATCTCGAAGCAACGAAAATTTTGCTGGATGTTAATAATAGATTTACGGCGAATCCAAGCTTTCGAGAGATCGATAAATCCTCGGATTTACTGCACATCTTGAATGAAGCCAACAAAAAATTGGAGAGAGCGAGCAAAGGCGTGAGGGATTACTTAGATGTTAAAAGATTGTCTTTTACGAGATTGTTCTTCCTCGATGACTCAGAGATTCAAAAAATATTGTTCGAATCAACCGATATAGTAAAACGAAATACATTTGTGAATAAATGTTTTGCCGGCATAAAACGATTAAAATTTAATAAATTTAATTGTATTCAGGGAATTATCGGGCACTACGGGGAGATTTTACATCTGAATGATAATACTTTCGTACCTATCGACACCAAACTCGAAGAGCAATGGTTGATTCAGCTTGAAGAAGAAATAAGAGACTCAGTTCGCGAAAATATTCGCCAGTATCATCTTTCGATAGACGGAGATATGACATTCGTTTCTAGTAATAATTTTCCAAGCATGGCGATCGTTTGCGGTTTGCAACTTTATTGGACCTCTTCGGTGGAGAAGTGTCTCACACCATTAAATATTGCAATGTTAAACTCTCTATGCGCGACATATGCCGATTGGATAATTTCGCTAACTAACGAATTGAGAAATAATTTGACGCGACGGCGTAGAAATCTGTTGATGTCATTGATCATTGTCACATTGTCTCATAAAGAAGTTATAAGGTTGCTTTTGGACAGAAATATCACTCAACAAACAGATTTTGAGTGGATTGCACAGTTGAAATACTATTGCAACAATAAGATTGTCGAGATATCGGTATTCAATACAACGATTGAATACGGATATGAATATAATTATTGTCGACCGAATATCGTTAACACACCCTTAACCGATCGATGCTTTCGTACTATATTACAGGCTTATCGTTATCATATGTATAGTGGCATCGTAGGTCCCACGAGTAGCGGTAAAACAGAGACAATCAGAAGCTTAACGAGAGCTCTCGCAAAACTATTTTACATCGTCAATTGCAACAATAGCATCTCCTACGATTGCACGGCACGGATATTCAAGGGAGTGGTTTCCTGCGGAGCGTGGGTTTGCTTTGAAAATTTCGACCGATTAAAACTAGAATTATTATCAGCCATCGCTCAGAATCTTATGCAAATCAAACAGGCGATATCATCTAACTTGAGAACGATAAGTTTCGAGAGCTACGATTTGAACTTGAACGTCTCCGGACACGTATGCATTAATGTCGACTCGGCACAATCTGGGTATAACAATTTGCCGGATAATTTGAAAGTGCTCTTTCGTTCTGTGTCGATGACGGCACCGGATATCGGCAGAATCGCCGAGATCGAACTCTTTGCCGGGGGATTTCTTCACGCAAAGAAGTTAGCGGCAAAGCTAGTCGTCAGCTACAAATTGTTATCCGAACATCTAGGAGAGAAGCATCAATACAACTTCAGCATGTCGTCGTTCAAGACAGTCGTCGCAACCGCGATCGATATGAAGCAAAATGTTCCGGACGAAAACGAGCACACCCTGCTCCTACGTTCGATGATAGACATAAATATCCCGCAGTTATGTACACCCGATATACCTGTCTTCCAGAGTATCGTGCGCAATGTTTTTCCCGAATCCGATGTCCTGCCTCCGTTCGATTGTTCGGCGATTTTAAAAGCGTTCGAAAGCGTGTGCACCAAGAGATTTCTCATGTCG